TGATTCGACTTTGTTGTAAGTGTTAGAGTCGGAGAGTTGTCTAATTGCTTCTGTTTGGTAGTCTGATTTGTTCTGAACGGTGACAGCTCCACCTTTATCAGCTCTTTTGATGATGATTTTTTGGTTGTTTTTTAATTGTTTTAAAGCTGTTTGTTCTGGTTTGGATAGGTTGTTTTGGTAGATAGGTATATTGATTCGTTTAATATCCTTCTCTATATTGTTGATATATTTCTCTAGTTTGGGTGAAGTAGAGACGGGAGGTATGAAAGTGCTTTTGTTTTGGAATGGGTGTTTTGAGCGTTTGCTGTTATGAAACATCAATTTTAATCTCAATTTTCTAGTAAAATCTGAGATGTCAGTGGTCAGGTAATGTTGTATATTTTTGGGGTCGGGTGTGGGTATGAACTTTAGTCCTTTAGAGAGGACTGAAAGTTCTGGTTTAGATAGTTGTTGGTCTGATATGTTTACCACCAGTTTGGTTTTGGCTGCTTGTTTTTTATGTATTATGCTTGTGTTCCTATGTTTGATATAGGACCTATGTAGTTTGTTATTTCTTTTTCTGGTCATATTTAGCAAGTGTTGCTATAATATGAATGATTGTAGTTGTTGCAGGTATGCGTATTGTTCTCTGAGATGTTGAGTATTGAGTGGGATGAGAGGGATCAGTGATTTGGAATCCGTTAATGATATGCAGTGTTAGCGATGTAATTATAGAGATGGTATCTCTATTGTTATGAAAGTTGGTTTGTGAAGTGTGAATAGGTGAACTATTTTTAGTTTGCGTGGTGCTATGTTTAGTGTTTTAGGTGATGTTTGAGAGGCCTTTGATTTGTTTTCTATATCGAGTTGATATATTAAAGTGTTTTGGTATCTAGTTTATGAGATTCGTCTTGTTGCCATTTGGATTAAATTGGAATTGTTTTTGTTATGATTTTGGGTATGGCTTTTTGGTTTTAGTATTCCAAAAAACGGTATATGCTTGATGGTTTGTGGGTAAATATGTGGTTAATAATTAGTATGGGTATGGTTTGGTTCTCTAGTATGCTGTGGTAGCTTTCTGGTAGAGGGTGTCTTGTTTTGTAACCATGTTTTTAGTTGATATTTGGTTATTATGTTGAGAGCGGTGTTTTCCGTTCATAATTCATGGGATGCGGTATTGGCGTTCGCGTATTTCGTATATGTATGGTTGTGTTGGTAGCAAAAGTATGGTTAGTTAGTTGTTGTTTGGTTGTTTGGTTGTTTAGTATGGTATCCTGGTTTGATGTAGATATATGTATAATGATGGTAGCATTGATAGTTGTAGAGATATTAACTTGATTGTGGGGGGGTTATTTTCGTTCGCAATATTATGTTTTTTTAGTTTTGATTTCCCGTAAGGGTATATGCGTGTTGATTTATGGAGGATTGGTATGGTTAGTTGTTTATTCCATTTTGGTTTGGTTGGTTAGTATGTTATGGCAGCTTTCCAGTGTGTGGTGTATTGTGTCAATACCGTGTTTTTTGGCTGAGATATGGCTTTTTTGGTGGGTGTGGTGTTTTCCGTTCCTGATTTTTAAGATGCGGTATTTTTGTTCACCGATTTCGTATGTGTGTTGCTGTGTGGGTAGGAAAGGTATGATGAATAAGCTGTTATTTGGTTTTTTGGTTGTTTAGTATGATATCTTGGTATGTTGAGGATGTGTTTATTTTGGTGGTGGCAATTATAGTTTAAGAGATTTTAACTTGATTGTGAGGGCGGTTTTTCCGCTCTGAGATATCTGTTTGTACGCATTTTGGGATTGATAATTTCTAATACACGTAATGGTTAGTGAGGTGATATAAGAGTCTTTGGTTTGTATGTAGATGGTTTTATTATCTTGTTTGTTGTTTTGGGTGTTGTTTTGGGTGTTCAACTGTGTGTATTTCGTGATCGTACACATGGTATGGTGTGAAATTTTAACTTGTTTGTGAGGTAACTCAACACATTCATTCAACATTGCAACCAAACACATGACACAATTAAATTTGAAGTAGAAACATCTACAACGGAAATACCATTCCTTGACGCTCTGATATACAAACCTAAGGAGTTCAACACCACCAAAACACTACACACCAAACTATACTCCAAACCAACCGATGCTCACATATTCATACCTGCAAACTCATTTCACCCTAAACATTGCCTAGACAACCTAGCCAAAGGGGAATGCATTAGATACAAAAAACTCTGCACTACAACACTAGACTACGATTCAAACTCGGAAAACCTCAAAAAATACCTAAAAACACGTGGACATAACCCGAGGAACTTCAACAAACACATAGCTAACACCAGAAAACTAAATAGAACGCTACTACTGAACCAACCAGCCCGTACCCGCCGCACTAAAACATATGAAAACAACACACTACCATTCATTACCACACACTCGGGTATCAACCACCAGATCAAAACTATTCTGCAAAAACACTGGCACATTATAAAAAGCGACCCTACACTAACCCAGATATACCCCAATAGCCCTACTATTGCTCTGAGAAGAAACCAAAATCTCAGCGATGCTCTAGTCAGAGCCAAATTCTCTAACACATAGAACAACCCTATTATATATAATTGACAACCACCCGACCTCTAATAACCAAACCACCACACCCAGAAAACCCAAAACACACGAACAACTAACAAATTCAATATTTACATACCAAAAAAACATGATATACAACACAACAAGCACACCAATTAAAGACCGCAACTCTCCCAAACCAACTAAATTCCCGGGGAAATCACTGTGTTTCTTGACCCGTAGAAATACAACCATAACTCAACCAATATTGCACCAAACTTCAAAAACTAAACACCATAAGGTAGCTACAACCCTATTCTACACAACCACTACAAATAAAAGGCAATACACAGCTACTAAATAACAACAATAACACGAAAACCACGAAAAACTTTGAAAAAATCGGCACCATATTACGATTCATCAACCACAAAACCACAATCGAACATTCTAAACACAAAACTTTAACACGACCTTATAGAACAAACTTAGACAAACAAAAACACACCAACCACACTAAAATCAAGGCACTACATCCAGAGCTATACCCGCTTAAAGTCACACAACAAACACACTTACATTTAATCTTATCGACTTTTCACTAAGAAGAGCAATAAACCGGAAGTTTGTTCTCTGACGTCCGCACCTTCCATATAAATATAACACACGAGGACGATAGATCATATTACAGTACAACACTGACAACATAACAACAACAACAACCTAAACCTCAACATGAGCATTGCCAAAGACCTATCAATAGGCCAGATGATTGCCAACGCCAATGATACCCAGGCGTCTATCTGCAGCGGGAGATTCAACTCTCATAACTCTATGGAGATGAATGACAGCAGGGACACCATTCCCGACTCAGAAGTACCAGCTAACAGCGCTGCCTTCAACAAGCAAGCCTTTAAACAAGCTACAACCAGCAGCCCTAAAGACAAACACCATATCAAGTCGGCCTCTACCTTCACAAAAAACAACCCTTTATACACAATACCACGCAAACCCAAACCCACTCTCAACATCATAGACGCGATGGGTCTAGGCCTACCTACAAACATCGGGAACAACCCCAACGCCACACGCCAAGCAGACCCAGCTCTACTCACCCGTTTGAGAACATCAATACACTGGGAAGCCAGACACGATGGCGTTCTTAAAAGCCTTAACAACTGCCCGGGAGGCATCCCAAGAGGCCTCATACCAAATATCAAATGCGGCGCCCCTGAGAAGGAAACCTCTGATATTGAAAAGGCGTTTGATGTTATTTTACACCATTGCAGCGACCAGCTGACAGAAGCCACCACACTCCACAGCCAAAACAGACTAGACTTTCACAGACAACAAACCAGTGAAACCATCCAAACGCTAGCCAAAACCATCGGCCTTGTAGAAGCAGACAAACTGGCAGAGCAGTACAGGCGTGAGGCCTTCAAACCAAAAAGACGGGAACCAAACACAAAACCCCGTGGGAAAAGACAGTAGAACAAAACTACTTTAAAAAATACAACCCCGGCCCTTCTCAGGGCCACCATTCTCTACCAAAAGAGCAATTAAACATTTATGAATTAAAAAGTATGAATGTGTATAGCATATGAAATGTATGAACGTGTATGGAAACCGCCAAACATGTTAACCCGAAACTATATTAACCCCCCTAAAACTAATAAAGCAAACCCTTGTATTACTAACTTTAAAACTAAACAACACTTCTACTACTAGTGCCAACCAAAACACACCAAACGTTTACAATTTAAACCTGCAAACCACTGCCCGTACTTCGGAACACACACCCGTGCATACACTAACATTCCCCCTTCCCCCTCCCCATTCCCCAAGCCGCTGATGAAGAACACATCATGGACTACCACCCATGAGTTCGAAACATCTTGTGCTCTTATCATGACACACATATAAGAGAGATGGTCCACCACAGGACCGGGATGTCCGGCCGCCCTCACAAAAATAACAAAAAACAAAACAATATTTCTTGGGTAAGATACGAACAATATCTTACGCCATTTTTACTGACATATACTATTCTTGTCACATATTAGACATGCGATAGTTTAGGGAAACTTAGGCGACTAGATTATGTCTCCCAGGTCCCCACACAGAGACCTCTCACCGCTTGTTCACAGACTGCATGAACAATGCGTGCACATAACTGGTGATGTCTCAAGACATTTTCTAAGTCATCTCCCCAAGAATCAGGATATAAATGAATCTTTGGTTGTTGTATCATTGACAGTCAACATTGCAAGTATTCTTCGGGCATACTTATCACTAAACCAGGCAAGCCAACTATTTATTATATTGGTCAACTCAAAGGTGAACTTAGAGAAAGGACTGATCTTTGTGATTTGCTGCAGCACTATCACAGCAGGGATTTTTCTTGTGATCGGTCTTACACCAGTAGGATATATCATCCAAGTGCTATTTCGGACTACTAATCAACAACTTGACAAAATTCAATTTGGCATAGCATCTCTCTGTTTACTACCAGTGTCCCTAAATATAGGGTATGCAATCCATGGATTATTATTAATTAAAAAACACACCTATTTTTGTGTCCTTGCTGAATTTTTGAAATTCATCTAAAAAATAGGGTGTACTTTTTCTCTCGCGGCTACACCCTTAATTACTAGAAGACCAATCTTGATACCTATAATATCTGATTATGTATCAGCAATGGTTTATCTTATCTTAAGCTTTATAGGATATAAAATATACTTGATCAATGATCTACCTGCTGAAAGTGCAAATAAACTGACATATTACCAAATGATTAAAATAACGCTACCCTTAGGACTACACGAATTGATAGAAAAATGCGAAACAAATATTCTCAGTTTTACAGTTGCACAACTAACGCCAAATGGATTTACGCGGAGTATGACACTGGCAAACGTTTACATTCTTCATACATCATTTTACTCACTGCGAAAGATATCAGCCAGTATCGCAACAATGGTACCTGCATACCTTGCATCTGGGGTTAACTCATCATTACATTTTGACCATGAACTGGTTATCTGCACCTCCATTATTGCATTTGTTTTATTTTTGATTTCAATCTTAATTTGCTGGATTACTCCCATTACAAAGGTTATATTTTTATATGTTTTTCACATTTCTGAAGAAAATTTTATTGCAGTCTTCTATCCCTTTAAGCTGTACACATTCTGGCCAATTATACAAACATTTGCCTTGTTTTCGTTCGGAATTTTACTGCACAAGAAAGACACTAAGATGTCAATAGTGACTTCTGCTTGCCAGGTCATTATATTGGGTTGTCTACCATTTGCTTTAGATCATCTTGGATTTGCTATTTTACTGTCTTCGGTTATGGCTTTGTTTACTGCTCAGTCATTTACTGCAGGTATACTTTTCTCATACCTTTTTTTCAAGTATTTAAGAAAATCTCAATCTCATTTCAAGCAAGTATGAAATTAGTTAGTTGCTGATATTTTTTATGTGTACCCTCGGAATTACTTTAATCATGTATTTGGATCACATTATATTATTGGAATAAAGTTAAAAAAAGGTATTCTGTACTCCTGGTTAATTTTTTCAAGTTTTTATTTCGCAATTTTTGAGATTTTTAGGTTATCAATTTTTTACTTGTATTTGAGTCATCCTCTGGACAATGCTGGAGAGAGGGACTAAACAGATAGTGAACAAAAGAATATAATATCATTTCTATACTCCAGGGTGAAAAGTACATGTATAAACATTAAATGGGTTCAATGAACATTAGGGAGTAATGTCACAGCAGGAATTTTCCTTTTAATTGGTCTTACACCAGTGGGATATATCATCCAAGAGCTATTTCGTATTACTAATAAACAACTTGAAGAAGTTCAATTTGGCATAGGATGCTACAGTTTGCAATCGATGATCCTGAACATTGGGTCTGGAATCCATGGGTTATTATTAATGAAAAAACACACCTATTTTTGTCTCTTCGCTGAGATTTTGACATTCATTTCAAAAATAGGATGTGCTTTTTCTCTCATGGCTACACCCTTAATAACTAGAAGACCAATTATGATACCTATAATATCAGCATATGCTGCAGCACTGGTTTATCTTCTCTTAAGCTTTATAGGATATAAAATGTACTTGATCAATGATCTACCAGCTGAAAGTACAATTAAACTGACATACCATCAAATGTTTAAAGTAACGCTACCCCTAGGACTACAAGAATTGATTGAAAGATGTGAAACTAATATTCTCAGCTTTACAGTTGCACAACTAACGCCATCTGGATCTACGCGGAGTAAGGCACTGGCAAACGTTTACATTCTTCATTCATCATTTTACTCATTGCGAAGGATATTAACCAGTATTTCAACAATGGTACCAGCATACCTTGCATCTGGGGTTAACTCATCATTACATTTCGACAATGAACTAGTTATCTCCACTTCAATGATTGCATTTGTTTTATTTTTGATTTCAATTTCAATGTGCTGGATTACTCCCATTACAAGGGTTATATTTCTATATTTATTTCACATTTCTGAAGAAAATTTCATTGCAGTATACTATCCCTTTAAGTTGTACACATTCTGGCCAATTATACAAACATTTGCTTTGTTTTCATTTGGAGTTTTACTGCACAAGAAAGACACTAAGATGTCAATAGTGAGTTCTGCTTGCCAAGTCATTATATTGGGTTGTCTACCACTTGCTTTAGATCATCTTGGGTTTGATATTTTACTGTCTTCAGTAATGGCTTTGTTTACTGCTCAGACAACTACTGCAGGTATACTTTTCTCATATCTTTTTTTCAAGTATTTAAGAAAATCTGAATCACATTTAAAGCAAGTATGAAATTAGGTTGATGCTGACATTATTCCATGTGTAACCCTTACATTATATTATTGGAATAAAGTTTAAAATGGTGTACCATCCTCTTAGTTAATTTCAGTATGTATACATACGGATGGACATATGGATGGATAGATGTACATATAGATGGAGCTATTCTCTATATCCCCCAAACTTCATTTAATGTGATACCAAGGTATTGTCCCAAGGTGCATATGAAGCACGAGCTGTGGACAGTCCTCAGAAACCCATATGGGACATCCATCTCACTCATTTCGACAAATCAATCATCAATCATACAGGAATATATGAAAGTGCAAGAAATACACCTCAATTGACGATTTGCGACGGTTGATTCTATGTTGTAGTGACGTCACAATTAGGCCACATTGCTGTAGCTGTTTGATTTTAAGAGATTATCTTCTGTATTTCATACTTTATTGATTTATTTTTCACGAAAGTATTCCATTTGACTAGATCAACATTCATTCTAAGCACATTCCAAGTCTATGATCTTACTGACATGATTTAAATAGCGGTTATGCGCCTCCCAAGTTTGAAAAATTTTGTCTCTTCATCATGTCTAATATTATTTCTATATGAACTCATATTAATAAGACAAAATACACGACAACAGTTGAACAACCTGATTTACTTTGAAAACCTATTGTCTTTGGATTACTTCCGAAAATGCCGAGAGGATCAACATATCTCATATTTAGTTAACAGGTGAGTTAACGTGTCTGAGAGTTTTATTTATTTTTTTTAATAAACTTTATTCACCTTATTAAAACATTTATACAGAGTCTGAAATTTAATTATCAAATTTAGTTAGCTCTCCTACATTGAACTTTTGCATTGGTCCCTAACCTAGTTCAACATTAAGAGTAGCTACAAGCTTATTTTAAATTTAATATATACCTGGTATATTTCACAAAGAGATGTTTAGAATAATGGCCACACAATTCCACTTGAAAGAGAGAACTGAATCCAGCTTATTGAGTGACGGTCACTAAGAAATGTTTAAAACTATATAAATGTTGATAAGCGGTCGGAAAACTGCAGTTTAAAAAGGAATAACTGTTCTTAGCTTGATAAAAGAATACTTTTACTTTTAGACACAGAGGATGTACAGTACATCAGTGTTTAAGATGAAACTAAGACTAAAGAAAAATGCAGTTCATACTGATTAAAAGGGAGATGAAAAAAACTAAGAAAGAAGTTTTATGTTTACTTTCAAAGACTGATGCAGTGAACTTTACTCCACTACTTTCGAGTTGTAGTAAAATATGTTAAAATGGCGGCCATTTTTCAATATTGCCACCTTCTTCCAAAAGTGTCATTAGACAGTGTGCAATGCTTGTAGTATTCACATATCAAATCTGAACAAAATCGCTCCACTACTTTTCTAGTTATAGTAAAATAGGTTAAAATGGCACCCAATTTTCAAAATGGCCGCCTTCTACCAAAAGTATCAATAGACCGTGTGCTTTGCTTATAGTATTCACATACCAAATATGAACAAAATCGCTCCACTACTTTTCAAGTTATGGTAAAATATGTTAAAATGGCGGCCATTTTTCAAAATGGCAGCCATTTTTCAAAATGGCCACCTTCTACCAAAAGTGTCATTAGACAGTGAGCCATGCTTATAGTATTCACATACCAAATATGAACAAAATCGCTCCACTACTTTTTGAGTTACAGCAAAAATTGTAAAATAACGAGTAAAGGCCGCCATTTTTCAAGATGGCTGCCATGTGCTTCTTTAATATCTACATTACTAGCTTTATTAATGTCCTACATAATTTTTTTACATTTAAAACATATTGCTATTACAGTTTTACGTATTGCACCTAAATTGCTGTAAAATCGGCACTAAAATGGCCGCCATTTTTAAATGTGTTGCCATTATGAAAATCGGCTTTCGAGCAGAACTTCTACCTTCATAGGGTATATGTGTACAATGTGTACTATGGGCCCTATGCCATATATAGATTCAATAATTGGCTCCCATGATCAAAACAAGGAGCTAATCGAGAGGGTGTCCACTGAAGTAGAAGACCCCATAGTGAATTATGATGAACAAAAAATAGTCATCATAAAATAGATATTTATAATGGATATGTTATATTTTATTTAATATTCAAGTTGGCCAACAATACATTACTGAAAGCTTTTTAAGACAAGGTTTTTATTTAGTAAGAGATGACTTTTAAAGCTCATGATATGGCTGATATTGACTGGGGAAAATGTATGCTTATATTTCAAATATTTCTACCTACTGCTATTGCAAATATGGAGCCAGGGATAGGTAGAATTATTGACAGTTTGAGCCAAACATACACTCAGGATATAAATGAATCTTTGGTTGTTGTATCATTGACAGTCAACATTGCAAGTATTCTTCGGGCATACTTATCACTAAACCAGGCAAGCCAACTATTTATTATATTGGTCAACTCAAAGGTGAACTTAAAGAAAGGACTGATCTTTGTGATTTGCTGCAGCACCATCACAGCAGGGATTTTTCTTGTGATCGGTCTTACACCAGTAGGATATATCATCCAAGTGCTATTTCGGACTACTAATCAACAACTTGACAAAATTCAATTTGGCATAGCATCTCTCTGTTTACTACCAGTGTCCCTAAATATAGGGTATGCAATCCATGGATTATTATTAATTAAAAAACACACCTATTTTTGTGTCCTTGCTGAATTTTTGAAATTCATCTCAAAAATAGGGTGTACTTTTTCTCTCGCGGCTACACCCTTAATTACTAGAAGACCAATCTTGATACCTATAATATCTGATTATGTATCAGCAATGGTTTATCTTATCTTAAGCTTTATAGGATATAAAATATACTTGATCAATGATCTACCTGCTGAAAGTGCAAATAAACTGACATATTACCAAATGATTAAAATAACGCTACCCTTAGGACTACACGAATTGATAGAAAAATGCGAAACTAATATTCTCAGTTTTACAGTTGCACAACTAACGCCAAATGGATTTACGCGGAGTATGACACTGGCAAACGTTTACATTCTTCATACATCATTTTACTCACTGCGAAAGATATCAGCCAGTATCGCAACTATGGTACCAGCATACCTTGCATCTGGGGTTAACTCATCATTACATTTTGACTATGAACTAGTTATCTGTACCTCCATTATTGCATTTGTTTTATTTTTGATTTCAATCTTAATTTGCTGGATTACTCCCATTACAAAGGTTATATTTTTATATGTTTTTCACATTTCTGAAGAAAATTTTATTGCAGTCTACTATCCCTTTAAGTTGTACACATTCTGGCCAATTATACAAACATTTGCCTTGTTTTCGTTTGGAATTTTACTGCACAAGAAAGACACCAAGATGTCAATAGTGACTTCTGCTTGCCAAGTCATTATATTGGGTTGTCTACCATTTGCTTTAGATCATCTTGGATTTGATATTTTACTGTCTTCAGTAATGGCTTTGTTTACTGCTCAGTCATTTACTGCAGGTTTACTTTTCTCATACCTTTTTTTCAAGTATTTAAGAAAATCTCAATCTCATTTCAAGCAAGTATGAAATTAGTTAGTTGCTGATATTTTTTATGTGTACCCTCGGAATTACTTTATTCATGTATTTGGATCACATTATATTATTGGAATAAAGTTAAAAAAAGGTATTCTGTACTCCTGGTTAATTTTTTCAAGTTTTTATTTCGCAATTTTTGAGATTTTTAGGTTATCAATTTTTTACTGGTATTTGAGTCATCCTCTGGACAATGCTGGAGAGAGGGACTAAACAGATAGTGAACAAAAGAATATAATATCATTTCTATACTCCAGGGTGAAAAGTACATGTATAAACATTAAATGGGTTCAATGAACATTAGGGAGTATCATGAGCATAATTTAGAAAAAAGACAAGACTGTCAACCTATGAAATTTTGTTATTTTTGCGCACTTTTTGAGGTCACCTGACCATGACGTGCCGTGTGGCAAGTTATTCTGGCGCTAAATCCAAAAGTTGTTGTCACAGACTACTACAAAGGCTGAACCAAAGTAGAAATAAACATTAGTTTCACATTCGCATGCATTCCAATAGCCAAATAAATATTTTTTTATTGTTTGCACTTCACAAAAAGAAATTCTTGAGGAAAGAGCATTGCAATTTATTCATTACATATTCAAGGAATATCCCAGATGCGAGTAGAAATAATCTTGATTTACATCATTAAAAATTCACAATTCAGTCAAACTGATGTCATATTTGGAATCTACATGTAAATCTACATTTAGAAATGTGGTTTTGAAAAGAGTTTATCCACTTTGAAAATTTTATTTTCTTTAAAAATGTGACTTCTAGGTCGGGGAGATTCCCCATAGAGCCCATGTTGTAAAACCACAAAAAGTGAAATATCTTTTCTTGTGTTGGGCAGATAATATTTTCTTTTACTGGACATATTTTAATTTGTATAACTATCACATACATAAGGGTAATTTGAAAAGTGAACCACTAAAACTGATGCATATTCAAGTTTAAGGGAATTTTGTAATACCCTGCCATGTTATTTCCCCCGAATCAGCCACCTGGTGGCGAAACTGGTAACTACCTACTCGCATCTGAGTAATTGATTGACATGCATTTGTGAAACAGTATATCTATAACTGATAATGTTAACCCAATAATTATAATTTGGCCTTACAGCACTACATTCGGGTTGAAAAGTTCTAATCCCCAAACACTGGCAATTTTTGCTGTTGTATGACTGGAAATGCTTTCAATAGCGTTTCAGCTCGACTATTCCACACTCAATTGCAAATGATAGGTTATATGATCCAATCAGCATAGTTATATGATCCAATCTATTCACTAATCTATGCACTAATCAGAAAGATAATCAGAGATTCAAAGTTACATTATTTGTATTTTTCGATCTTCGTTGACATCTGAGCAATTTCTGGGAAATCAGTGACGTCACTGGAATTGGAGGGCATTTTCAACTACAGATTTCTTCGGATTTGGGGATTATAGTTCAAAAAGCCTTGTTATATATCTTAATTACATTATATCTACATAAATGTTTAACAGAGTCGCAGTGCGGCATTGAAAATAGCACCAACGTGTAATCCAATGGGAAAGAACCCGGATGTGGACGAAGTTGAGCCATAAATGAGAGCTCTTCAAACGGGAGGTAACTAAACTGAACAAAACCAAACATTATCGCGTATTGGAGTATTGGCTCAACATAAGAATGAATAACTATGTCATTTTGGTAATTTATGGCGATTTATGGTGATGCCCAATCTTTAGTCAAAATCTAAAGGCTTTCTGTCAATGACTGATCTTCAAAATCAGAGAAAATATCTGTTTTAGATTGTTATATTTCACCATGGGCTTTCAACTCTAATTGAAATAAAAGTTAAAAAGTTGCATTTGTACGAGATAAGGTTGAAAAATATTTCTGAATCTGGAATTCCCATGATGCACCAAGCAATATGACTTTGGCCAGAACATTCATTATAGCTTTTAAATCATCACTTGAAGGCTTTTTTATTATGAATGTACTTATGGCTTATTACCTGCTGGGGACACACCTAAGTAACAGCATTGTGCACAGAAATGGCTTAATCGTTGGTGGTAAGTAAATTAAACCTGTTATCATAGATTTTAACCTCAAGCAAATATCATGAATTTAATGTGTTTTAGAGTAATATTTGAAAAATTTGAAGTAAATCCATTGAGTGATTGAATGGTTTTCCTGGAATCAGGATGACAAGATTTATCTAAAAACCTCAGAAATTGCCACCCGAAAGTAAGACAGCTGTCAAAAAGTTAATCATCTCTAGAACTTCTTACCATGTAACATGTGTAAAAATTTGGAGTGAATACAATTAGTGGTTTTCCTGAAATCACAAGATGAACGCCCCCCCCCCCCCCCCGCCAAGTTGATGACAAAATCTTATCTTTTTTAAGCAATATAAAAACATAATCAATAGAGCCTTATTGGAATTGAATAATTGATAATTCCAATATTGTACATGGATATATATACATGATATAATTTCTTGCCATAATTTACTTATAGTGCATGAAGAATAATAATGAATTTTCAATAATAACGTGTACCTAAGCACTTGTATCCATGTTCACATCGGAAAATTAGTATCTTTAGAAAATCCCCATGATGATTCAATTCAAGCCATCATCCATATGGACCCACAGAGGAAAAATAAATTTATGAACCAGCATCAAAATTCTTAGTATTTGTACTCGTATATATCCTTAGTTCAATTTTCACAATGTTGTTAAAAAGACAATGTGCACTGTATAGTGGAATATTTGATGAATAAAAATTAAACTTTTATTTGGAAAATGGTACTTGAGAAATAAGAAGCAGACAATTTTTTTCCCGATTTTTTTCAAAAATCTCTAATACAAGTCATGAAAAATGGTAAATGGATGATGAAAACATATTTTCGAACTTTACATGGGGTCTTTAAAGTAAGCAGAGCAGAAAAAATACAACCTATTATACTAACATTTTGACCTCAGAGGCAAAGTCACACCAACTACATGTATTTACACCTTAGCAGAACTTTTATCCTCCTCTGTTAGGGTCCCATGTCTGAGTCTGTGTCTGGTATACCAAATATGAAGCCAATTAGCAGCAGACCATAACTGTGACATTAAACACGTCTTATCTAACTAACTCATAATTGCTTCACTGATCTCAGAATACCAGGAAAAGTGTAGTCCCTGATGTATCATTTAAGTTCCCCTATGTTAGATATGTTAAGCAATTACCCAACTCTATATGCTTTACACAAAGTCTTAATTCAATTATAATCACACTGCAGGGAATATATTAACTAAGGTGAAGATGAATTTGAAACTTTAATTAAGTGTATGACAATGTGTAGATTAAGTAAATGTCAGTTTGCTCAACATAGAGCGTTTTCCCAAAGTATCTAAAACGAGATACAACAAGTGTGAAATGAATCAAAGAATGAGTCAAAGAGAGGAATTTGCTTTGATATAGTTTGTTTTCAAAGGCGGATCCGTTTGACATTCATATGCTTATTCAATATATATTTGATATAGCTATTTAGCTTTTTAGCTTTCAGGGCAGTTTCATTTATGCTTTCACTGTCTCTAAGGTTTTTTCCTGATGACCATAACTTTTGACTTTTTCCGGCTAAAGTTGAAACCTGATTTGATAGCAAATTCATTGACAATTTGAAGCAAAATATTTAATTTGTTTTCAGAATAAGCAAAGAGGACTATGTCATCAGAAAACATGAGGGTTGGAATAAGTTGCACTTCAAATTTTATGGTGACCTTTACATTTTTGAGTTGGTCATACAAACCAGACATGATGATAGGAAATAGAGTTGTTCAGACACACCCTTGCTTAACGCAGTGTAATTGAGTGAACCAATTGGTTTCAATACTGTGTCTAAAAGCAACTTTTTAATTGTTCTAAAATGCATGTAGATGAATGTCTTAGTGTTTTTGAATGAGTTATAAACATTTTGAATGTTAAGAAAAGAATAACTGAACTGAAAATAAGAAAATTGCTGATTGATTTTCTAACATAGTGTCAAGAGGAGAGGTAATAGCATAAAACATGAAAATTGTACTAATCATTTAAACAATTTACTCTTGTTAATAGTTTATGAATGACATGAATAAATGGTCAAGTACTATATTTTTTAATATTATAATAAAATCATTTTGCTCCACCTTATTGTCTATTGAATAGAGTTACTGTTTTTTTGAAAATATTAAAAAATTAAATAAAGTTTGATTAACAGTATTTATCAAAGGAACTATTCAAATTAAGTGATTCATACTTTTTTCAATTAATATTTGTAATTCTTTGATTTATTTCAAATTATTTCTTAACAAAAAAATAATAAAGATTTTGTTTAGAAAAAAGCTTTAAAAATCTTTTGAGCGAACATTACGGTACAGCTGGAAAATAACATTTTGGGAAAAATTGCTATACCTGACCATGTTATTTTCTGGTACAGAGTGGTCAAAAAAACGGCAACCCTAATTTTTCCTCATATCTTTGTCATTTTTGGAAATTTTGCCCTGATATTTTGCACACATGTACATCATTCAATTTCATACTAGACTGTGTTATTTCATGAACATGGGACTGATAGTCACAATGTTACAGCACTTCAAACAAGGTGCCCCAGTTTTCCAATATCTTGCTGTAGGCAAACCTGCACATGTTTTCCGAACCTGTCGATGACATAACAGCATTCCTCAGCAAGTATGGCCTGAATGACACATGTGACTTTATTTTGAGGTCAAATGTATTTCTGGTGTTATTACCCTACACTCTATCTTTGGGGTATCCCCACTGGTAAAGATTAAATGGGGCCATATCTGGGCTATGGGGTGCCTATTCATTGTCTGTTGTACTGCTGATAATGTGGTCATTGAAGTGGTCCCAAAGCCAATATTGTGCATCATTTGGTGTATGGGGTATGGTTCTGTCTTGTTGGAACCACTGTTGCTGCCTTTCAACCCCCCCTGGTTTCACCTTAAGTCCCCAAGAACTCCATGGAAATCACAAAATAGAGTTTGATGTTGACAGTTATTGCATATCTGTTAGCATCATCAAAGGTAAAGGACCCTTCTTCTGAGAACACACTAAACTGTGCATCTGTCTGTGTTAAGGTGCCTGTCCACTTCTTCATAAAGTACTTGGCTCCCCAAGAATACATAAGTGTTATAGTTGACCAGTGCATCAAGTTGGAAATGGAGTTCATTTGGATAACAGACCAGCTCAGACAGCCCGAAAGTGGCCATCTGGGGTATGTTGCTTACAATGCAGTAATATTGTGACTATAAGTCCAAATGGTCATTAAATATGGTAGGTTGGTAGGAAATTGAATGATGTACAAATGTGTAAAATATCAGGGAGTTATTCCTTAGAATGACAAAGATATTAGGAAAAACTTGGGTTGCCGTTTTTCTTGACCACCCTGTACAAAATTAAGTATGAAGGCATGTGTGTATTTTCTTCCTTTTTTCAGGAAAGTATCATTACATTGTCTACTTTTAGTAAACCTGGAAACAGGTCAATGGTAGCTCCTGTATTTGGAAACTTCGAAAGAAAATTTGGAAAAATGGAAAGCATGAAATATCAGAATTTCCTGGAATTCCCATTGAACTCTTACTAGATTTACTAAAAGAAGACAGTGTAATGATACTTTCCTGAAAAAAGCGAGGAAATTAACACATGCCGTCATACTTTATTTGTACCAGAAAATAACATGTGGAGGTATAGCAATTTTTTCCCAAAATGTTATTTTCCAGCTTCTCATTCTTCTTAAGACTAATTTTTGTTGTTTGTGTTGTTTTTAAACCTACATTGTAAAACTTTCTTTAGATGCACCCTACTGTTATGTTTGAGTACCACTGTTTAAAAAGTGAATATCTAAATAAAGAAAAAAGGATAAATATACATCCTAATTACATTTCCCACACTTCATATTGGAACTAAAAGCTTATTGGAAGTAAAAGCTTAACATTTTGTTTTACTTCTGCAATATGTAGGTTTAATTTAAGTTTTAATTATTCACTGAAATAAATAGTGCATTGGTGCAATACAATGAACAAAACATATAGTCAATATGAAATACAGGGCATTTGAGTTCACATTTCGATTACTGAAGTGAGGCTTTCTCCATCAACTGTGGTACAATTTTTATACATGTATTATATTCATACTTAACTCATATAAATGGACATATACATGTATTGACTTTCATTCAAGTAAGCCAATGCTACAGTTTTCCAAACTTTTGAAGACTACATTTTTATTTTAGTGAGAAAGACAATTAATCTTTGTGATATGGCTGATACTGACTTGGGAAAATGTATGCTTATATTTCAAATATTTCTACCTACTGCTATTGCAAATATGGAGCCAGGGATAGGTAGAATTATTGACAGTTTGAGCCAAACATACACTCAGGATATAAATGAATCTTTGGTTGTTGTATCATTGACAGTTAACATTGCAAGCATTCTTCGGGCATACTTATCACTAAACCAGGCAAGCCAAATATTTATTATATTGGTCAACTCAAAGGTGAACTTAAAGAAAGGACTGATCTTTGTGATTTGCTGCAGCACCATCACAGCAGGGATTTTTCTTGTGATTGGTCTTACACCAGTAGGATATATCATCCAAGTGCTATTTCGGACTACTAATCAACAACTTGACAAAATTCAATTTGGCATTGCATCCCTCTGTTTACTACCAGTGTCCCTAAATATAGGGTATGCAATCCATGGATTATTATTAATTAAAAAACACACCTATTTTTGTCTCCTTGCTGAATTTTTGAAATTCATCTCAAAAATAGGGTGTGCTTTTGCTCTCACGGCTACACCCTTAATTACTAGAAGACCAATCTTGATACCTATAATATCTGATTATGTATCAGCATTGGTTTATCTTCTCTTAAGCTTTATAGGATATAAAATATACTTGATCAATGATCTACCTGCTGAAAGTGCAAATAAACTGACATATTACCAAATGATTAAAATAACGCTACCCTTAGGACTACAACAATTGATAGAAAAATGCGAAACTAATATTCTCAGTTTTACAGTTGCACAACTAACGCCAAATGGATTTACGCGGAGTATGACACTGGCAAACGTTTACATTCTTCATACATCATTTTACTCACTGCGAAAGATATCAGCCAGTATCGCAACTATGGTACCGGCATACCTTGCATCTGGGATGAACTCATCATTACATTTTGACTATGAACTAGTTATCTGTACCTCAATGATTGCATTTGTTTTATTTTTGATTTCAATCTTAATTTGCTGGATTACTCCCATTACAAAGGTTATTTTTTTATATGTTTTTCATATTTCTGAAGAAAATTTTATTGCAGTCTTCTATCCCTTTAAGCTGTACACATTCTGGCCAATTATACAAACATTTGCCTTGTTTTCGTTTGGAATTTTACTGCACAAGAAAGACACTAAGATGTCAATAGTGACTTCTGCTTGCCAGGTCATTATATTGGGTTGTCTACCATTTGCTTTAGATCATCTTGGATTTGATATTTTACTGTCTTCAGTAATGGCTTTGTTTACTGCTCAGTCATTTACTGCAGGTTTACTTTTCTCATACCTTTTTTTCAAGTATTTAAGAAAATCTCAATCTCATTTCAAGCAAGTATGAAATAAGTTAGTTGCTGATATTTTTTATGTGTACCCTCAGAATTACTTTATTCATGTATTTGGATCACATTATATTATTGGAATAAAGTTTAAAAAAGGTATTCTGTACTCCTGGTTAATTTTTTCAAGTTTTTATTTCGCAATTTTTGAGATTTTTAGGTTATCAATTTTTTACTGGTATTTGAGTCATCCTCTGGACAATGCTGGAGAGAGGGACTAAACAGATAGTGAACAAAAGAATATAATATCATTTTTATACTCCAGGGTGAAAAGTACATGTATAAACATTAAATTGGTTCAATGAACATTAGGTAGTATCATGAGCATAATTTAGAAAAAATAGTACCATGGGTACTGGGCTCACATGGTGACAGAAAAAAACGGATATAATTTTTTGCTGATTTTTTGTTACAAAATTATTTCAAGTCATCTGTCTCTCAGTCAATTAAAATGGCTGAAAAAAACGGATATAATTTTTTGCCAATAATTGGTAAAAAAATTATTTCATACAACTACTCTTTACAGTGACATGGCTTTTTGCAATGCAAGACACCTGAAATTATTTGTAAAGCTAGGAAATGGGCCAAAATTGAATTTCGCGAGACAAAAATGGCGACCATTTTGAAATCAGGCAAGCTTTTGAACCAGGAGTCATAAGGGAGTTTTTTGTATTGATGTTGAACAAAAATAACTTGAAACTGGAATCCTATCGACAGAGGTTTTGAGCAAATGGTCCAAAAGAGGATTTCGCGAGACAGATGGACAAATCAATGTTAACTAAAATGGCTGAAAATAAAAAAAAACGGATATAATATTTTGCTGATTTTTTGTAACAAAATTATTTCATACAACTACCTTTAACAGTGACATGGCTTTTTACAATGCAGGACAGCTGAAATTAAAGCTAAAATGTAAAGCTAGGAAATGGGCAAAAAGTGAATTTCACGAAACAAGAATGGCAACCATTTTGAAAATAGGCAAGCTTTTGAACCAAGAGTCATAGGAGAGTTTTTTGTATTGATGTTGAACAAAATTAACTTAAAATGGGAATCCTATTGACAGAGGGTTTAAGGTAAATGGTCCAAAAGTGGATTTTGCGAGACAGATGGACAAATCAATGTTAACTAAAATGGCTGAAATAAATAAATGGATATAATTTTTCGCTGATTTTTCGTAACAAAATTATTTCATACATCTACTCTTTACATTGACATGGATTTTTACAATGTAGGACACTTGAAATTATTTGTAAAGCTAGGAAATGGGTCAAAAGTGAATTTCGCGAGACAAAAATGGCGGCCATTTTGAAAATAGGCAAGCTTTTGAACCAGGAGTCATAGGGAGGTTTTCTGTATTGATGTTGAACAGAAATAACTTGCCATGGATTTTTACAATGTAGGACACTTGAAAATAGGCGAGCTTTTGAACCAGGAGTCATAGGGGAGTTTTCTGAATTGATGTTGAACAGAAATAACTTAAAACAGGAATCCTATCGACAGAGGTTTTAAAACGTGCCACAGAAAGTGGATTTTGCGAGTCAGATAGACAAATCAATGTTAACTAAAATGGCTGAAAATAAAAAAAATGGATACAATTTTTCACTGATTTTTTGTAACAAAATTATTTCATATATCTACCCTTTACATTGACATGGATTTTTACAATGTAGGACACCTGAAATTATTTGTAAAGCTAGGAAATGGGTCAAAAGTGAATTTCGCGAGACAAAAGTGACGGCCATTTTGAAAATAGCCGAGCTTTTGAACCAAGAGTCATAGGAGAGTTTTGTGTATTGTTGTTGAACAAAAATAAACTTAAAATGGGAATCCTATCGACAGAGGGTTTAAGGTAAATGGTCCAAAAGTGAATTTTGCGAGACAGATAGACAAATCAATGTTAACTAAAATGGCTGATAATAAATAAATGGATATAATTTTTCGCTGATTTTTCGTAACAAAATTATTTCTTACATCTACTCTTACTTTGCAATGGATTTTTACAATGTAGGACACTTGAAATTATTTGTAAAGCTAGGAAATGGGTCAAAAGTGAATTTCGCGAGACAAAAATGGCGGCCATTTTGAAAATAGGCAAGCTTTTGAACCAGGAGTCATAGGGAGGTTTTCTGTATTGATGTTGAACAGAAATAACTTAAAACAGGAATCCTATCGACAGAGGTTAGCTAGGAAATGGGCTAAAAGTGAATTTCGCGAGACAAAAGTGACGGCCATTTTGAAAATAGGCGAGCTTTTGAACCAGGAGTCATAGGGGGGTTTTCTGTATTGATGTTGAACAGAAATAACTTAAAACAGACGGACGGACGGACAGACGGACGGACAAGTGAGTGATTGCAAAAGCTCACCATGTGAGCTAAAAAGACAAGACTGTCAACCTATGAAATGTTGTTATTTTTGCGCACTTTTTGAGGTCACCTGACCATGATGTGCCGTGTGGCAAGTTATTCTGGCGCTAAATCCAAAAGTTGTTGTCACTGACTACTACAAAGGCTGAACCAAAGTAGAAATAAACATTAGTTTCTCATTCGCATGCATTCCAATAGCCAAATAAATATTTTTTTATTGTTTGCACTTCACAAAAAGAAATTCTTGAGGAAAGAGCATTGCAATTTATTCATTACATATTCAAGGAATTGATTGACATGCATTTGTGAAACAGTATATCGATAACTGATAATGTTAACCCAATAATTATAATTTGGCCTTACAGCACTACATTCGGGTAGAAAAGTTCTAATCCCCAAACACTGGCAATTTTTGCTGTTGTATGACTGGAAATGCTTTCAATAGCGTTTCAGCTCGACTATTCCACACTCAATTGCAAATGATAGGTTATATGATCCAATCAGCATAGTTATATGATCCAATCTATTCACTAATCTATGCACTAATCAGAAAGATAATCAGAGATTCAAAGTTACATTATTTATATTTTTCGATCTTCGATGACATCTGAGCAATTTCTGGGAAATCAGTGACGTCACTGGAATTGGATGGCATTTTCAACTACAGATTTCTTCGGATTTGGGGATTATAGTTCAAAAAGCCTTGTTATATATCTTAATTACATTATATCTACATAAATGTTTAATAGAGTCGCAGTGCAGCATTGAAAATAGCACCAACGTGTAATCCAATGGGAAAGAACCCGGATGTGGACGAAGTTGAACCATAAATGAGAGCTCTTCAAACGGGAGGTAACTAAACTGAACAAAACCAAACATTATCGTGTATTGGAGTATTGGCTCAACATAAGAATGAATAACTCGAATTTGAAAGCTAGGGTTTCATTTTTATCTAAAAAAAATCGTATTTCGCAGCGAATTATTTCAACCACACACGTCATGTCACATGACGTAAAATTTCTGGTCTGGAAATGAAATCAGTTTTGCCTTGAAAACAGACACTTACTGACTTTATATCCCCGATATCATGGTAAAATGAACCTTTGGAATTGTTGATGGTTCACCATCGTAAAGTGTGGCCTTCGTACAATAAGATAGCATTTATATCTCTAAATCGAGTAAAATGGTTTGAGTACAACTTTAAATATATGGGCGATAATAGGGTGAAACATGAATTTCCTCAAATTTAGACTCAGTTCGATTAAATGACAGAATACCATACCCCCATGTATTCCTCATGCATTTTCTCAATGAGCAGGTTTAAACTGACATCAATATCAATGGAAATATTCACTATCCATTTTCCATTTGTTTGTGCAGGCTGTCATTTTGGTAATTTATGGCGATTTATGGTGATGGCCAATCTTTAGTCAAAATCTAAAGGCTTTCTGTCAATGACTGATCTTCAAAATCAGAGAAAATATCTGTTTTAGATTTTTATATTTCACCATGGGCTTTCAACTCTAATTGAAATACTATACGTTTAAAAAGGAGTAAAAAGTTGCATTTGTACGAGATAAGGTTGAAAAATATTTCTGGATCTGGAATTCCCATGATGCACCAAGCAATATGACTTTGGCCAGAACATTCATTATAGCTTTTAAATCATCACTTGAAGGCTTTTTTATTATGAATGTACTTATGGCTTATTAGCTGCTGGGGACACACCTAAGTAACAGCATTGTGCACAGAAATGGCTTAATCGTTGGTTGTAAGTAAACTAAACCTGTTATCATAGGTTTTAACCTCAAGCAAATATCATGAATTTAATGTGTTTTAGAGTAATATTTGAAAAATTTGAAGTAAATCCATTGAGTGATTTTCCTTGAATCGCAAAGACAAGATTTACCTAAAAACTTCCAAACTGGCCACCAGAAAGCAAGATGGCTAGTAAAAAGTTAATTAGCTCTAGAACCTCTTACCATGTAACATGCATTTAAAGAAGTAAATCTGTTAAGTAGTTTTCCTGGAATCAAGATGACAAGATTTATCCAAAGTTGCCACAAGAAATGAAGATGACCACCAAAAAGTTAGATTTTCTTACCATGTAACATGTGTAAAAATTGAAAGTCATTTCGTAAAATGGTTTTCCTGGAATCAGGTTGACAAGATTTATCTAAAAACCCAAAAATTGCCACCAGAAAGTAAGACAGCTGTCAAAAAGTTCATCAGCTCTAGAACTTCTTACCATGTAACATGTGTAAAAATTTGGAGTGAATACAATTAGTCGTTTTCCTGAAATGACAAGATGCATGCCCACCCGCCAATTTGACGACAATATCGTATCTTTTTTATGTGAGATAAAAACATAATCAATAGAGCCTTATTGGAATTGAATAATTGATAATTCCAATATTGTACATGTATAAACATGATATAATTTCTTGCCATATACTTTACTTATGGTGCATGAATAATAATAATGAATTTTCAATAATAACGTGCACCTAAGCACTTGTATCCATGTTCCCATCAGAAAATTAGTATCTTAAAAAAAAAACCATGATGATTCAATTCAAGCCATCATCCATATAAGTGAATAGAAAAAATGATAAATATACATCCTTATTACATTTCCCACACTTCATATTGGAAGTAAAAGCTTATTGGAAGTAAAAGCTTAACATTTTGTGTTCTTCTGCCATATGTAGATTTAATTTTAGGCTCCAATTATTCACTGATGTAATAATAGTGCGTTGGTGCGTTACAATGAACAAAACATATAGTCAATATGAAATACAGGGCATTTGAGTTCACATTTCGATTACTGAAGTAGGGGCTTTCACCATCAACTGTGGTACAATTTTTATTCATGTATTATATTCATAACTTACTCATATAAATGTACATATACATGTATTGACTTTCATTCAAGTAAGCCAATGCTAAAGTTTTTAAAACTTTTGAAGACTACAGTTTTGTTTTAGTGAGAAAGACTTAACAGAGGTGAAATTAATCTTTGTGATATGGCTGATACTGACTGGGGAAAATGTATGCTTATATTTCAAATATTTCTACCTACTGCATTTGCAAATATGACAACATATACTATCCCTTTAAGTTGTACACATTCTGGCCAATTATACAAACATTTGCTTTGTTTTCATTTGGAACTTTACTGCATAAGAAAGATACTAAGATGTCAATAGTGAGTTCTGCTTGCCAAGTCATTATATTGGGTTGTCTACCATTTGCTTTAAATCATCTTGGATTTGATATTTTACTGTCTTCAGTAATGGCTTTGTTCCTCCAAACTTCATTAAATGTGATACCAAGGGAAAGAACATTGCTTGCTACAATTTTGTTAGTAATGTAATATTTAAATGTAAGCCTTTGTTTATGGGAAGACAAATGTGCTGATATTTTCCCAAGGTGTATATGTACATCTGTTAGGATTCTCTCTTTGAAAGGTCATTCCACCCAAAGAGGAAGAATTTTTTATCATGAATATATTTTATTTAATGCAACAGAAGATATACTATTTTTGAATATGCATACTTTATTTTAATGTAACTAGATGTTGTAACTTTTATATGATGTGTATTGATAGTTCCTGGAGAAACATCTGGCTATAAAAGATTAGGTCACCCCCCTTTAGGCATTTGATGATCTATGTATGCATTCCTTTGTTGGCCAATGCAGACACATGGTCACAGGAGAGGCAAGGGTAGAATGTGCATCAGTGTTTGAGATGAAACTAAGACTAAGAAAAATGTAGTTCATTCTGATTAAAAGGGGGATGAAATAAACTAAGAAAGAAGTTGCGTCATCTACACATATTTTATTTTTACTATTAAAGACTGGTGCAATGAACTTTATCTTATTTTATCTAAACCCTATGCCGTATATAGATTTAATTTTTGGCTCCCATTTTTATCATGCGGAGCTATATTGAAACAGTTCACTTAAGTAGAAGACCCCTTAGTGAATTATGATTAACGAGTCATTATGAAATAGTTATTTATAATGCATATATTGTATTTTATTTGATAAAGGAGTAGGCAAACGCTACAGTATTTAAAGCTTTTTAAGACAAGAATTTTTATTTAGTAAGAGATGACTTTTAAAGGTCATGATATGGCTGATATTGACTGGGGAAAATGCATGCTTATATTTCAAATATTTCTACCTACTGCTATTGCAAATATGGAGCCAGCCATTGCTAGAATTGTTGACATTTTGAGCCAAACGTATACTCAGGATATAAATGAATCGTTGGTTGTTGTATCATTGACAGTGAGCATTGCAAGCATTCTACGGGCATACTTATCACCAAGCCAGGCAAGCCAAATATTTATTATATTGGTTAACTCTAAGGCAGACTTGAAGAAAGGACTGATCTTTGTGCTTTGCAGTAGCACCATCACAGCAGGGATTTTTCTTGTGATTGGCCTTACACCAGTGGGATATATCATCCAAGTGCTATTTCGGATTACTAATCAACAACTTGAAGAAGTTCAATTTGGAATAGCATCTCTCTGTTTGCTATCAGTGATCCTAAATATTGGGTATGGAATCCATGGATTATTATTAAAGAAAAGACACACCTATTTTTGTCTCCTCGCCGAGGTTTTGAACTTCATCTCAAAAATAGGGAGTGCTTTTTGTCTTATGGCTACACCCTTAATAACTAAAAGACCAATTTTGATATTTGTAATATCAATTTATGTAGCAGCATTTGCTTATCTTCTCTTAAGCTTTATAGGATACAAAATATACTTGATCAATGATCTACCAGCTGAAAGTACAATTAAACTGACATACCATCAAATGATTAAAGTAACACTACCCCTAGGACTACATGAATTGATCGAAAGATGTGAAACTTTTATCCTTAGCTTTACAGTTGCACAACTCACACCATCTGAATCTATGCGAAGTATGGCGCTGGCAAATATTCAGGTCCTCCATGCATCATTTTACTTATTGCGAAGGACGCTAACAAGTATCGCAACAATGGTACCTGCATATATGGCATCTGGGATGAACTCATCATTACATTTTGACTATGAACTAGTTATCTGCACCTCAATGATTGCATTTGTTTCATTTTTGATTTCAATTTCAATGTGCTGGATTACTCCCATTACAAGGGTTATATTTTTATATTTAGTTCACATTTCTGAAGAAAATTTAATTGCAGTATACTACCCCTTTAAGTTGTACACATTCTGGCCAATTATACAAACATTTGCTTTGTTTTCATTTGGAATTTTACTGCATAAGAAAGATACTAAGATGTCAATAGTGAGTTCTGCTTGCCAAGTCATTACATTGGGTTCTCTGCCATTTGCATTAGATCATCTTGGATTTGATATTTTACTGTCTTCAGTTATAGCTTTGTTTACTGCTCAGTCATTTACTGCAGGTATACTTTTCTCTTACCTTTATTTGAAGTATTTAAGAAAATCTCAATCCCATCAAAAGCAAGTATGATGTTAGGTACTATCTAGTAGTTGCGCACATTATTCTATGTGTAACCCTGGCAATTACTTTATTCATGTATTAGAATAACATTATATTATTGGAATAAAGTTTAAAATGCTGTAATGAACTCCTGGTTAATTTCAGAATACATACAGACTAGGGGTGAGACGACAACCCGATGAGTCGAGGACTCGCGGGTTTGGGGCTTCGAGTCGAGTCGAATCGAGTCGAAGTTGATGAATCGAATCATTTTCGAGTTGACAAAAAATTCGAAAAAATAAAAAAATTCAGAAAAATACTGTCAATATGCATGTTTTTACTCGATATTGCGTTGAATATATAAGTTTCAATGACTTGGATATGCTTGTATTAAATTATTATATTGTATGTACACATAAATGAAAGAATATATGTAATAAAATCAGAATAAACTTACGACGAATTGTGTTTGTTTATATTTCCGGCTTTCCACCATTGACGCATTAAAAATACGAACGGTCAAAAGCGATGTTGTTCGCACTTTATCTGACTCGAAACGGATTCGAAACTCGAATCGTCATTTTCTGACTCGAATCGGATTCGACTCGAATCGGATTTTTTCGACTCGTCTCACCCCTAATACAGACGAATGTATATATGGAGAGACATATACACAGATTGAGCCATTCTCTTTTTACCCAAACTTCATTCTTTGTGATACCAATGCTTACCTGTATAATACCAATGCTTACCTGTATAATACCAATGCTTACCTGTATAATACCAATGCTTACCTGTGTGATACCAATGCTTACCTGTGTGATAACATTACTCGCTACAAGTTTGTTAGAAATGTATATGGTACTGACCTGTTGTGCAAGTTTATATAACATCCTAGCGCTGACTGCAGTGGTATGGGTCCTCAATAGATTCTTCTGGGCCTCCTCTATCTTCCAGTCATAGCCATACCTAGGTATATGCAGATACATACATAAAGTTAAAGGTAAGGATTTATTTATTCTTTTTTCAACAAAAAACATCAAAGCATTTACGTGAGTGTGAAGTATTACACTGGGTTCAATAAAATTTTAGACAATGGGGAAAATGAATGAAAACACAAAGCAATGTGGAAACAGTTGCAAAGTTCCTTTAAACGAAATCTGACTTTAATCTGGTAAAAATATCTGGATAAAATGACTTGCCAGCTGCTAACGGGGACCTCTTGTTTGTTTCATAAGATGAGTTGAAATGATAGCTGGCACTGACTTAAAACATTGTGCAATGATGAATCATACTGAGTCTATTTCTGTATTACCCTTTTCAAATTTATATTACATTTACATTCAAATATCATTTCCCGATTATTACTCACCCTTGTGACCCATAGCCTCCTTGAGAATGGACTTTTTTCACTCTCTCTAAGTATTCTGCAGGAAACTCATGTGCATTAGCTGGTTCTGAAAAGCAATGTAGAAAAGGCTGGAATGATTCAATAAACATTTCATTTCATTTTAAGTCCTTACGAAATGGACTATGACAATATTTTATTCACATTTACAACCCCCTTTATTCATTCTTGCCATTAGTCTATTACTCTAACATAAACACATGCCATTTTCACAAAATGCAATTATGAGGCATGAAGCATTTCTTCAACAAATCATTTATATTTTAATCTGATCTCTAATGCCTACCAGATATGAAGAATGTATCATGAGCATCTCTAGCTGGATGCTGCTGAGGCTGGAAGAGGGCATCAAAATTCCAGAAGCTGCTTTCAATGTAGTTATTGGTAGGCATCTCAGAGAAACTGCAGTTATATGAATGTGTTGGTAGAATAAGACATACCATGGCCATGGGCTTTCAAAAGAAGCCAGGGCTTTCGCTAAGCTTTTTGACTGTGGTGCAGCACCACAGTCTATTTAGCTCCCACCACAACCTATTGGCAAATTATGATTGTTCCCACAGTCTACAAGGTGTTTCATATGTCTGCACCCCCCATAAACTCATACATGTTATATTGCCACCATATCATGTCATATATCACTTTGAGCCTTATGGAAAGTTACATAAGTCTAAAAATAACCAGAAATTGTCCTCTAAATGACTCCAAACCAGTATACTTTGATACATTGTATCTTTTTCTTGGCACACCCCTGGATTCTGAAACTTTGCAGTTTTGTGTACAGTGATCTCCTTGGCATTTAAGCAAGTGGACGCAGCACCCACCTGAGATTTTGATATAAGGCTTCCACCCACCTGAGAATCTATTTGCACCCACTTCAATAAAATATTCAAGAAAAATGGGCATATTTTGACCAATCATGGTCTGAATTGTGAAATTGAGAATTTTGCAACCACATGAGAAAAATCCTGTGGAGATCATTGATGTAACTTTCCACAAGGCACAACATGATATATTATTATTATTATCATATATTATTATGAGCTTTATTATACTTGTATCCCACATTTGGGCAAAGTGTACAGCTTAAACAGAAAAAAATGAAAAAGCTTAACTAATTATCTATATATTATATTAATTGATCAAAGGCTGCTTGATCATTGCAAGATTTTATTGGATGCATTTCATGTTTTTTTTCTCTCGATAAAAGTATTAGATATATATTTTGCTAGTATATTTAATATTATTCCCTCTGAATTAAATAGAAACATTAATTTATGTTCCACATTATTCATGTTTTCTAAATTTTGACAGTGTTTTTTTTTATTTTATCCATGTAACTTGACCGAACATCTTTTAAAGATGTTGATTTAAGAGTAAAAAAGGCTCCTAAACTTAATAAAATATGTAGTTTGGATGTTCATTTATGTCTGTGGATTATATTTTATACCACAAACACTTATAGATACCTGAAATTTGCAATAAAAGTGCCCAAAAATTGTTGTTTCGAAATTCCCCATTTTTCCTGTATCGTGCTAGTCACGTGACCATTACGCGTAGCAGGCAATACAGATATTACAGTACATATTTCAACATGTTCAATATGGCAAACATCAGCGATTCTGATTCCCGGGTTCTGAGAAATGGCTTTTATAAATCGGCGAGAGGGTGTAATTTGACTGGGGAAAATACAGGGGAAAATGTGTCCAAGTATACCAGTAAGAGAGCAAATATGGATACTTTAGACAAGTACTATGACGGTCGGAGAATCAACTAAAAATGTGAATTCTGGAATGAAGACCCGAGGAGACTGAGGATCCCACCGATCCATTCCTATTACTCAGTTTGAATTTTTGACGCGGAAATCAGGTTATGAAAACAGGTTTTCTGCAAAGTTATCAACTTTAGAAATATGGATCTTGTTTTTGAGTAAGGCTTAACAAGCATTAAGATACAAGACTATCTCTTGTCAAATACACGCAGACTTGCTGTAAATTGGCCATTGCAAATTGCAAAATCAGATCGTCAAATTAATCGCTTCGTATTTAAACGTATGCTTAATATATTCATCCAAAATTTTAGTATTCATTAGAGATAAGTTATAACTTGTACAGGAAGAAATGGCAGATCCTACCTTAATTTAGAATCGCTGATTTCTCTGGACAAATTCCGAGAAGAAATTGTTCAACATCGCGATCAGCTCAGACAACATGTCGTTGTCGTACGCGTGTACTTGTCACTCTGAACTCACGTGATAAAATACGGCATCTTGATTGGTTACTACTCACGTTCCCTCATGTTGTCATGACGCGAAAAACAGTAGTAAGCACTGAATATGTTAATGAACTGCCATATATGGAACAATTGTCTTTCTGATTGGTTAACTTTACACGCCTCCTAAATGAATATAGTAGTCGTAGTAAATGATTCATTGATAACTATGAAAGTGGGCGTGACCAGCTTTATTTTGACACCAAATTCAAGATGTTTCAAATCAAAATGGCCTCGCAAGACGAGGTTGAAATATCGGCAATTTGATACTGATATGGTCTACGATAGATCAAAATTGCCTGCCCCGCGTCACATGTCACGTGAGCCTATATTTGTTGAAAAATGAAAGAGATAGTGACACTTTTTAATCATAAGTTAATACCAATATTACAAGCACGTATCTATTTTTTTCATTGTATATTTATTTCTTCATTATACATACATTTGTTTTATACTACATTGATTCATTTTTGCAAAACCTTTGCTATTAGATCTTTAACTTATTGCATTCTAATAGGAAATGGCATTCTGAACCGGTTTTCTTGTTACACATTAAACATTTTCTTTCTTCAATTTCTTCATTGGTTTTGTGTAACGACCTGTTTCGATTTCTAATTTATGTGCGCTAATTCTTAACTTTGTCAAGTAATTTCGGTCTATTTCATTTTGATTAAATCCAAGTAGGGTTCCTTGTTCCATTTTGCTTTTATTATCTTATAAAACCTCAATTTACCATTATTTGATTTTATTTTAGTTTCCCAAAATTGTATGTATCTATTTTCCAGTAATTTCTTAATTTCTCTTGGTTTTAAGTTTAAATAGTTTGGTGAAGTACCATTGTAAATATATTTAAGTACATCATTGGTGTGCGTGAGCCATGATTGTTTATTCATATCTGTCAGTTGTTTATTTACCTTAAGGGCTTCACGTAGAAGCGAGTCGGTTCCTTTATTATTAATATGATTAAGATTCATATTAATAATAAAGGAACCGACTCGCTTCTACGTGAAGCTCCTAAATCGCCTCGTATAGTGATATATAACATGATAGATTAGCAATGCTCCATGTATGAGTTTATAGGGGGGGGGGGGTGCATACATATGAAACACCCTGTAGACTTGACAGAATACACAATAATAGCATGTAAAATATAAATCCAGCATAAATATGATTTTTCACGATTTTTCCACCACACCGTAAAAATTTCCTGGTGAGAGTCCTCAAAAATGTTTCCTGTACTCAATCCAAGAAAGAAATTACTTTTCATGATTGTATAATTTAAAGTTTTAATTTTATAATTTAAAATAAAATGAATGTTGATTATATATTCAAACATGACTATATTCACGCCTTCTATAAACCGTGAACAAAGTCAACATCTCACCCGGGGTATATTTGTCAACACTACCCCTGGTAATACGAGTAATGTGTGATGTCATAACGACAGGCTGTAGTAATGACGGACCATTAAATGAATATTCGAAAAAACTTTAGTGAGTTTTCATGTTCGAATCGTAATACAGACCTCAGAGTGGGTGTAATATCGACAAATACACACCTTAGGGCTAGGCAAAAAGCTTTTGAACAGAAAACGTTTGTGCATAGCCCTGCATGGTGTATTTGTCGATATAACACCTGCTCTTCGGTCTATATTTCTTGGATATAAAATGGATTTCACCATAATTATGGAAGTAATGAAAGTGTGAGTTCTCTAACAAATTATATTTTTATTTGAATGTGTCATCGAATTATTACCCACAATGCAACACTTGAGGAGAAAATTTTGAGACTTCTACTTATTGGTCATTTCGTTTATTTTTAAATGTGGTAAAACATGTTTTATGCTTTCATAATAATTATCATCATTAATTTTTTCGAAGATAATACTAGGACATATATACTTGCATATGATATAATTTCCTGTGTATAAACTGTATCAAGTACACTTTGAAAATATGATCAAAATTGGGAAGCATGTTAATGCTTATTTTCATGTTTAGAACAAAGAATAGCATATCCTTCTCTTGAAAGCCCATGGGCATACTAGGCACTATTCAGTGATCTTCAAAGCACAGAAGCAGATGAGCAAAACATTGCACTCACTGAGTTGGAAATCATGAATTATTGGGCTATTATCTGACAGGTTTTGACATTGGTGAATTCTACACCAAGTTGAGTTGGTATTGTGGGGAGAACACTACTAGACAGTCTGTATCCCAAGGGAACAACACTACTCATGTCAAAAGGCATATCATATAATTTCCAGTGTAAAGACTGTATTACACCCCATGCAGGCAGTAAAAATGATTTGCCACATGGGTGACAAAATGTTTCCAGTTTCCTGCCGAATGTCGAGTCTTGCATCATACAAATGTAATTATAGGCGATCTGTCTGCATTAGGTGTATAAAGTGGTTAATGTTAGTTCTTAAACCAATGAATCCGACGTGTTTCAAAAAGAGACATTTATATCAATTATTGTAAGCATTTATAACACTAATTAAAAATATAACTAATAGAATAAGAGCCTACCCCATTTCTAAGAAGATCTGTCTAAATTGTGTGCGGACCTTGAGTAGAGGATGAAGGTGACCACTGGGGGGCATGATACCAAGCGCTTCAAAGTTATATGGCTTGAATGTCTTAGTTTTCCATGAACCACTGAAAAAACGAAACAAAATAAATAACACAAGTTAGTATAAACTTATCTTCATGCGATCCTAAGGCAGGCGGTGAGTGTGGAGTTGGACCATAGACATATATGTGCCACATCCAGTTTAGTAAATATAGAACAGTTTTAAAATAAACTGTGATGATTTGTTGTATAAACACATGATAGAGACAATGTAGCTGAGGTTTTCCCAACGGAAGGCAATTGACACATGTTGATAACTATTTAATTGTCTCTGAACATGGTCTAAACATTCCAACATTTACTCATTTTATTGTGTGTATACAGTAAAACCTGTCTAATCCGAATGACTTTGGGACCGTCAAGTGTTTGGATTAGCAGGTTCACACATTTCAAGGTTTTATAAACATGTGCGTCAATTGAAGATACAAAGGAAGTAGTGCGCTCTCCATTATTATCTCCCCATGAAAAAAAAAAGTTCATCTGATTTTTCAAAATGAGTACTGTACAAGATGTAATTATAACGTGTATTTAATTATAACGAAAAATAATGAATTGAAAAAAATGAAAATGGAAGTCAATTGCTTTACCATACAGCATAATCAACGTAATATTGATTGATAATCAGTTGAACATCGACACAACTTATCTTATTTGTTTTCCTGTTACCATTTAGTATCTTTATTCACCGTTGCATCATCATTACATTTATATGCACACTAGTATCTTGTTGACCTATATTGAGCACTATATTGATGTATGCGCCACTTATTAGGGTCATAATTCAATCATGAAGTAGAGGCATAGATTCCAAACCAGGAAGTATTTTTCTGTCTGTCAAAATCCATTTGCATCCTACACGTACAACTTATCCAAATATGTTATTAATTAATGAAACATAACAGTATATAATCTTTGGATTGACAAAGTTGTATGGCATTTCATAAGTGTAAAAGTTGCTTTTGAAGCATTTGTCTATAGCCATTTTGTAGGAAAAAATGATAAAAAAATGTATAATCTTTTAATTTGAAGTATGAGCTGAATCGATAGCAAACTTCATATTTGCACATCTGATGTGATATACCATTTGTGTCATATTTTGAAATTATTTAATTTGCAATTGATTCAGGTCATAGTGTATTTTAGGTATTTTTGTGAAAATCAATAGAAACCAATGGCCTCCATTGAAATCTGATGATATCCACATGTTAAGTCAATGGAGCACATCCAATGGCAAGTCAATACACCTTCGCTGAACTTAATGACCTCAACCTCACCCCATGTGGGTCCAAATGCTTACATATTTTCCAAAGTATTTTGTGACATTGTATTTTTTATGTTACACCTAAAAATGATTCATTTTGATCATGGGGAAATAATAATGGAGAGTGCACTAGACCCTTTGGGATCATGAAGTCTTCACATTGAGAGGTGTTCTGATATACAGGTTTCACTGTACTATGGTCTTGTGAATGAAACAGTGTCATACAAGGGTAGGGACATACCTCGAAATCATCTCTGGGGTTAGATCTGTCTCAGGTTTAGATATAGAGGTAGAGAAGTTACTGCCTTTAGTGATGTAGTAGCTGGTCATCTTGCTGAAATAAAAAACAGTATCTTGTTAACACGGGTGTAATGCTTTTTATAACTGTATCTTATACACAGATGGATATGACACACATGATACTATGCAAATTCCATAATAAAATGTTGATTGAACTTTTTTATAGTTAAAGGTGACCTAATTTTAATATACACAATAAAATGGAAAAAGATTGATTAAGATTGGTCAGAAAATTAATTTAAATGACAAAGGTTCAAATAAATTACATATTTTATTTGAGAATAATACATACACATCTGCTATGAGTTTCCTCTTTTTGTATTCTGATTTCTGTTGGTCAGTTATATTGCCATCCCCTATACTGAGATCTTGTAGTTGTTTCAGACATTGCTGGACTTTATCTTCTATTGATTCTACCTAAAATGTAACATCAAGTCAATGCCTGAAAGAAATTGGCAACCAGATCTCTTAAAGCCTGATTATGTTTAGTTTCCACTCAATTAAATTAAATCAGAAATTTATGATAAATTTGTTAATTTAATTCCCAACTCTACATTTTGAAAATGTGATCTAACTCAGGAAGCTGGAATTGCCAAACTTTTGATAGGAAATGTAATTCTCTATGATGCAAATTAAAAGGGGATCAAAAGCTCCTAATAATCGACAAAAAAGAACAACATATTGATTAATTAATAAGTAACAGTAGGTGATCCATTCAACAAGAAGACTGAAGGATGTGACCCCAGAGACATCTTTCAATTGAAGCAAGAATTAAGAGGTATAGAAATGGTTATATACAAAAGTGAAATTCACTTTTTATATTGTAAGGGTTGATCCATACAAAAACAAAATAACTAGATTGTGGGGAATTAAAGTGAGCCAGAGATCTGATGGGTGGCCAGTTGACTTGAATTGTTTGATGGAATATGCTACTAACAAGATAAGAATATAAAATTTCTCACTCACTTTTTTAAATACCCTGGGACCTCCTTCTGCTTTTTTGTCCATGCTTATCCAACCTGCAGACATTGCCTTACTGAATCCAACCTTGGCATTTGGTACATTTTTCTGAAACACATTCTGATATTTAATAAACTTTATATCATCTTCACTGTCGAGCTAATCATTCTGTGATCTTAGATCGGTAAGTGAAAACACAAAGGATTAAAACCACCCTTATTTAAACCATGCGTAATGTAAAATAGACAAATTCTACCTATTGAGCTGCAGCAATTAAATTTTGTATTTTTCTTCTGGTCTTCACTATCATTGAGGTAATGAAGCAAATAATTATTCTTTAACTCTATGTTCACTTACCATTAACTCTGCTTGCAACAAGCCATCACCTGGTATGGCATTATATACGAGTGCTTCGTGACTTCCATTCTCTATTACACCTAGCCCTTCTTTAGTTAATTCTAATTGCTTAACTGTACGTTGTTCACAATTTATATACTGAAAAGTGAAAATACATAAATAATATTGAGACATAAAAGACATCAATAAAGAAGAGGTAAGACAGTGTGGGTCATATCCACTAGACAGTAGTCCCAGGTGGGTGTATTTATTTAGACTTGAATGTAAATTCGCCATTGTTGAATATTATAGAACAAAGTCAATTTTAAGTACTTTCATAAACATATTACTTACTTTTTAAGATTTTTATTCACATGAAAACTCAATGGAGCATTCATATAATTTATCATCAGTCACAACACTGTGGTGAGTGTGAAAACACAACACGATTGCCACTTGGTGAGTGACAGAAAAATCCTATGACCCACACAGTAAGTTTACCATTTCTGAAGTTCACAGGAATTTGACCGGGTTTAAAGAGTCAATTGCATTGATGAGAGGGTATGCTCCATAAATGTATATCTTCTAAACAAATCCCAACATGAATGAATCGTCTGCTGTATTAGCCTACTGACACTAGTGTTGTCGCGATTAATTGATACATCGCGATATACATCGCCAAAGCTGATTCTGGCTACGCATCGATGTCCGAAACAAAACATCGATGTTTTTTGAAAAAATGATTTTCTAAAAATCGCCCTTTCTTATCTTATTTTGACGCAAATCGCTAAGCTTCTTTCTATTTCATTTTCCAATGTTTTCTGATATTCTTTCGCCTTAAAACTGTTTCAGCTAGTCGAAATGAAACATTAATCTAAAAAAAGTTACTTTACTTTCATTTCACCATTACTAAAAACTCCCGGATGTACCAGCGTACTCTTATTAATTTGTTCTGTTTGGTATTTTAGTGCATTAGCGTTCGGTATTTCAGTGCACTTTTCTCGAACTTTTTCTCGATGTACATCGCGATGTGCATCGATGTTTACTACTGAAAATTGCCGATGCATCGATGTACGATTATGAGACTGTAAGACTTGTTGCTGAAAATCAACAAACCGAGAATCAAATTTCCAATGTGTTCTTTGATTTTTTGTATTGAAACTTCAGGAACTTATCAAGAAATAATTAAAGTTTGAAGCTTTATTTTCTCTTGGATATTGTGCTTATGCTTCATGGTCAACACAACTAAAAGATGATATGGTTAAATGTATCAGGACTTATCAGAAATTACGAAGTAGCATTTGAAATCCCCAGTGATTTCTATACTTGAAGTTCAGGAATTTCTAAAGATCATTCAGAAATCTCCAGAGATTTTGAATGTTAGTACTCAACTTTGTTATTTTCCATCAAAACTGCCATTTTGATTTCTTGCTAGAAAATGTCCATAAGGGACAAAAACAATCCTAATATTGAGACATAAAAGACATCAATAAAGAAGAGGTAAGACAGTGTGGGTCATATCCACTAGACAGTAGTCCCAGGTGGGTGTATTTATTTAGACTTGAATGTAAATTCGCCATTGTTGAATATTATAGAACAAAGTCAATTTTAAGTACTTTCATAAACATATTACTTACTTTTTAAGATTTTTATTCACATGAAAACTCAATGGAGCATTCATATAATTTATCATCAGTCACAACACTGTGGTGAGTGTGAAAACACAACACGATTGCCACTTGGTGAGTGACAGAAAAATCCTATGACCCACACAGTAAGTTTACCATTTCTGAAGTTCACAGGAATTTGACCGGGTTTAAAGAGTCAATTGCATTGATGAGAGGGTATGCTCCATAAATGTATATCTTCTAAACAAATCCCAACATGAATGAATCGTCTGCTGTATTAGCCTACTGACACTAGTGTTGTCGCGATTAATTGATACATCGCGATATACATCGCCAAAGCTGATTCTGGCTACGCATCGATGTCCGAAACAAAACATCGATGTTTTTTGAAAAAATGATTTTCTAAAAATCGCCCTTTCTTATCGCTAAGCTTCTTTTTATTTCATTTTCCAATGTTTTCTGATATTCTTTCGCCTTAAAACTGTTTCAGCTAGTCGAAATGAAACATTAATCTAAAAAAAGTTACTTTACTTTCATTTCACCATTACTAAAAACTCCCGGATGTACCAGCGTACTCTTATTAATTTGTTCTGTTTGGTATTTTAGTGCATTAGCGTTCGGTATTTCAGTGCACTTTTCTCGAACTTTTTCTCGATGTACATCGCGATGTGCATCGATGTTTACTACTGAAAATTGCCGATGCATCGATGTACGATTATGAGACTGTAAGACTTGTTGCTGAAAATCAACAAACCGAGAATCAAATTTCCAATGTGTTCTTTGATTTTTTGTATTGAAACTTCAGGAACTTATCAAGAAATAATTAAAGTTTGAAGCTTTATTTTCTCTTGGATATTGTGCTTATGCTTCATGGTCAACACAACTAAAAGATGATATGGTTAAATGTATCAGGACTTATCAGAAATTACGAAGTAGCATTTGAAATCCCCAGTGATTTCTATACTTGAAGTTCAGGAATTTCTAAAGATCATTCAGAAATCTCCAGAGATTTTGAATGTTAGTACTCAACTTTGTTATTTTCCATCAAAACTGCCATTTTGATTTCTTGCTAGAAAATGTCCATAAGGGACAAAAACAATCCTGATCGTAGCAGAAGTATCTAATAACTTACAGACTTTCATAAACAAAGGATGGAGATATAGGGGACATTTGGATTGGATTTGGAGATATAAAGTAATCAGCTGATTTCAGTATTTCAGTTTCAGCTGTCACAATTCTCCAGCAGCTTATAGAGGGTGAGCAAAGGCCGATCTATTAGACCAGTCAGGCAGTCTTAGAAATCACGACTGTATACTAATACTGATGGATAAGCTACAGTCACATTCATTTTCAAAATCTTTTTTTTTGGTTGACAGAGAGGTAAAGTGTAATGGAGCGATTCAAAGATTCAGTCAGATTCAGATTCTAAAATTTCATCGAACTCCTATGCAGTGTCTCGGTATAGACACTGCGGCGGGCAGATTATGGAATCCCCAAAATTTGGGGAAGATAGTCCCCCTTTTTGTCACAGATGTACTTGTTTTTCACACAACATATAAAATATATGTTCTTTTATGTTCACCAATAATTATTTTGTCAAAATATTCCAAAATCAATGAAATATAAGAGCAAATCCCCGCGGAAGGAATTCTGAGTAAAAGTTGTGTTGATAAAAGTTTACCACACGTGTTGTTTATTAGTTAATACGCGCAATTCAACCAATGAAATTGTCTAAATTTTACAATCACGCGACCTGAGCATGGGACTAGAACCAATCACGTCAGTTGTTTATTACGATGTTACCATGCTTACGGTGAGACACAAGAGGAGGGAAAGCCCCAGAGTTTCAAGATGACAGACATAATTACCACTCTCGCTTTCCACCTTCGTTCCTTCGAATTTTCATCGGCTAGTTATCAAATACTACACTTCGATGGGATGTTATAATTGATATAGGCATATTCCGTACACCTTTCTTTATCTTGATGTGAAATGAGAAGCTATGATATTGGTTAACACGCCAGAAATGAACATAATATTATTCGAAGCGTATTTCGAAAATTTTGAAACCGCCATTGATGACGTCATTTGTTTGTCGACTTTTGACCAATCAGCGACCGTGTCATCTCAATACAGATTTACATTATAAGCGTATGTCATCTTTGAACCCTGGTGTTTCTCCCCCTCTGGGTGAGACACCTGCCCGCCGGAGTGATATATCACTGCACGGGAGTTCGAAATTTCATCAGCCGGCATACAGATCTATTGCATCAAGTTAGACTATTATAAACAACAAATAATCTCTCTAGCTTACGTCTCCCAGTGAATTTAAGCTCTTCACAGCTCCGACTATCTTCTGGTGATCAACATCAAACTCTTTAGCCAGTTGTATAGTGTCAATTCCATCAATATGTTCCAGAAATTTTAAAATATTTTCGAGATCCATGTTGCTGGATTTTTAATTTCCGGTTCCGGGTCGAAAGTAAGCGTATGGTGATCGTAAATACAAGTTTAAATATATTAATTCACCTTTAATCACCTATGGAAGTTATTACTATCCTGTCAAAAGTATACTATACTAAACTTTTGACATCCCAAGTCCTCAAAGTATAATTGAAGTGGATCACAAATAATCAAATTACACAAAAATATATTTATTATTCAATATCACGATTGCTTACATATTCAGAAATTCATTCCAACATTTTTCGAAAAAAATATTCACATTTTATTACATTCTATGATTATAGCGACCAAACTTTGGCATTATAATGATATATGCATAACCAATATATTGGAAAGTATGTATATACTTGACAGGAAGATCGTGGACCTCATCCAAAACTTTGTAAGTCAAAAGTAGTGGTTTTCAATTTCATTTCCCTCGTTTGTTTTACATTATCATGTTATTTGTAACTTTTGTAAACTATATGATGTATGGTACATAGATATTAGATATATATCTACATGACATGTAAATACAGTTTGACGAAATCTACGTAGGTCTAGTAAAGTCCATATTGTTCCTGTGTGTCATCAATCAATCCTATAGAATCTATCGTCACAGATGCCAGCCAGATCATATTTATAGTATAAGCTAGGCTCAATAAATAAACTTGATGTATTATCCTTGAGGTAATGATAATTTTTCAACACATACGATCATGCCGGCATCTGTTTATTTCATACTCCATGGCATGGCAGTACATAGCACTGCAGGTAAATATCTAGTCTCCGCTTCCATTGCTGTATGGTTGACCTCTATTAATTTACATGATTGGTTCTTGTCCCATGTTCGTGCCATGTGATTAGTAAATCTAGAGAAGTTGATAAGTCGCATTGCACATATTGCCAGCATATAACCACCCATGTGCAGTGAACTATTATCAAAGACTTTAACTCAAGATTCCTTCCGCATGGATTTTTTTTTATATTTCATAAATATCGATATGGCAAACTGCATTGATCATGTTTCTCTTCAACCTGTCATCAATATTTTTTGTTAAATCAACCAAATATTCCTTTGTTTAACTATAATATTGAGAGGGCTAAGAAAATGTTGTATATGCTAATTTTTGTTCCAACAAGATGTAGAAAGATATTTTATTTCATTATCAAGAATCGGAAGAAAGGAAAAAAAACAATTGCACTAATAATCAAAAAATGTGAACAAAAATTGTTGTCAATCAGTGACCATTACATAAAGGACCGTGCTTTTTTACAGAATGTTTTCAATAATTGGTTTCAAAGAAAAACAATGTTGAGTTCAGTTCGCCATATTGATACCAATCCTTTCAAAGTACATGTATTTTGACAAAATAATGATTATGAAACATAAAAGAATACATACATGTATATCACATAATTATCAGAATAAATCTATCAGGAAAAATGAGACTATTTTCAACTTACTACTTTTCCATCTACCAGTCGCATTGTCTATTTCCAGTAATTCCGAGACACTGCCATTGGAGTTCACTAAATTGTCTACAATATATAGTGATGTGAGTTGCAGAGTTGTAGAAAACTAAGATTCCACACGATTATAAAAAATTGGTCTAGTAGTTGATGAAAAACACTTTATTTTTGCAAAAAATAATGAAGAGAATTGGATGAATTCAGTTTATTTATGCTTTAGTCATCCCAAAATACAAAGTTTGTGAGATACATTATTGTGAAGCCCTCCTTCTATCAGTCCATCTGTCTGGAAAGTAACTTATCCTATTGAACAGATTTTCTTCGAATATTGGTAAATAGTTTTACACAAAAATTTCTTTTTAAGCATTTATTGGTTTAATATATGCAATTTTGTCTAGTCCCCAAAACTTTTGATAAATATTACTTTTTCTAAGCATGAGATCTAATTTGAAGACAGAGTTAACTTCTGATTAATTTAATTTGAAAAATTCACTTCTGGAATGCTCAATGAACAATAACTCATGCATTTCTCATTGTAAAAAATAAGCAAAGGGGCATAAATTACAATCAATTTTATGTTGAAAAATACATTACAAAACTTTTGAAAATGTCAGATATGAGTATGACATAAACCTGTTGACGATCCTCCTGGGGGGTTTCGCTTCTTTTAATTTCGGAATATGTTCTCAGCAATAAAATTTTCAAAAATTACATGTCAGAGAAGCATCAAAATATAAAAGGCTACACATTTAATAGCTACCACAAACAATACCAAAATATTGTACCAGAATTATAATTATCAATTGTATTTCTCCATATAATATTGCATTGTGGTTTTTCATTGCTTATTTTTTTTAGGTTTTATTGACTCGGAAAAGTGATCCACACTGAAGAAGTGATAGGGACTACTGGCAGAGTACCACTTTAACAAAAAATAAAAAATATATTCAGCTGACTCTTAAATCTATGTCCTCATCACACCACCCCTGTAATGCTTTTTTATAGACCTAAAAGCAATGTGAACGAAGAACAATATTTTTTTTGATATTTGTGAAGCTCAAAGTTAGGTCAGCTCTTATAAGAAAGTAGGTGCTCATGAGTTAACAACAGAATGTAGTCTTTTTGTAAATAAAAACAGTTACATATCTTTTTTTCAGGTTCTGTTTGTCTTGGTAGTTATCGCCTGGGGCTATGTGCTATATGCAGGACGTTTTATATCATTGAGGTTTGTACCTGGCAAATCAAGCAATTGATACTTCCCAGAATATACTTAAAACATTAATAAATAAAACACCTTGAGAAGGAGTGACTCACCTGTGAAAATAACAATGGATATCGTGAAAGAAAATGCAGGCATGCTGAGTAATATGGAGGTCTATACTCTCCTGACAGAACTACAAGCAGGGCAGAATGGGCAGAAAAAGCCGAATAAATTCCAACAAAATCTGGCAACAATAAGCTATGAAGCTGTAAAGTACTTAGAAAATACACCATGTAAAGACCAAACAACGGAAATAGTTGCAAACTTCATGAAAGCACTCGCTCCTTTCAAACTGACAAAGGCTGAAAAGCTACAGCTGTTGAATCATAGACCGACATCAGCTGTGGAAATACAGCTGTTAGTTGAAGAAAGTGAGGAAAGATTGACAGAGGCACAAATAGAACAACTGCTTGATGTAATAGTTGAACATTTAGGGTCAGACCCAGAACCAGAAGAGGAAGCCATGGAAGATGAAGCTTCGTAGCAAAATCATTTCAATTTGTGGAAATTAATTTCATCGTCATTGAAAGATGGCACTACTATCACTCTAACTTCTTTATATTTTGATCCTTACATTATGGAAAAATATTCTGAATTGGCAAATATAAAAACCTTTAACACTAACATTGATTTTCATTTGTGTATTTTTATCATTTGTGAATATCAGAGATATGTATGCCTCTGTGAACATGAAATGTAATAACTGTATAGACTATCTGTTTTATTTATCATATTTTAAATCTGACTTTCTTACCAAGTTTAAAATGACCAATCTGACATATTCATGTTCAAGTAAGCAATTGCCAAGAGCACTGTCATTTTGATTGCATATGCTATTGTAAAGGAAAGATTGGCTAAATTAGAAGTTAGATATATATAAAGCAAAATTGTAAGAAAGTTGACACTCGGTCATGTTATCTGTCACTAAGCATAATTATGGCGATATATAGAGATGTCGTTAAGTTTAAACCAGTTTACACACATCTCCTGAAAGCATCAATTAACAGAGCAATAATTTTGACTTCTGACAATTTTGGTTTTTGTGGCAGTTCACCACTAACTTTGTAACAAATTTAAAGTAGATACTATTTCTGCATTTGTGGAAGGATCTAGACGTCCATTTGGTTTTGAGGCCTATTAGTTTATGACTTTATTACGATGCATCCTGGACTCAAAGTTCAACATAACCCTCTCTTGTTTCATGTGACCTGTTTTATTACAATTTTTTACGAACATGTACAGTGTGTATTAATTTACAAATTTTGTTAAATAAGTACAGGGTGCTCCAAAACTCATGAGCGTTTCAAGAAAAACTTTTCATACTTATTCCTGAGGCTTATTGTAATGTTATTCATAAAATGTTCCAAATACATGTAAAACCCTGAATAACCTGATCTTGCATATTAATTAATAATTATATCGTTGCTATCAATGTTTTTGGCCAAGCATTTTATATTTGTTTTTTGTAGGATTTAACAATCAAAGAAATGATTACTGAAATCAAATTCGGAAAAACTTCAAAATATCCTTTTTAAATTATGAATCCTGATTTCTAAAAATCATTAGAAGATAATGATCCTTCTTGTTTGGAAACATTATTATCGTTTATGTAAATTAAGCATTGATTTTTAACAGCATTTAACCCGGTAATTACCTGTTAGAGGTTAGCGGGCAATAAGGTGGTTTAAGTGGCCTTAGAATGAATAGAACTAGTTAAATAGGTAAATTCTTATGCCACGAGTTGATGGATGCGGCCTAACTGTACATAGAGTGCCAGGCTATCTGTCAACTGCATCATTAGAACTGTGGTCAGCATGCAAACCATTGTACACCTTTCCGATATAATTAAAACAATAATTTTGCCAAAATATTATTTCTTACAAAAAATCAGACTTACTTAAAAGTAAACAATAACATTACATTATAGAGCGTCTGTTTAGAGACTCTTTGCTGAAATGGTAATGCACAGTTCATTTACAGAACTCAAAATGCATTCCGGATCAAAGCTAATCCCTCTTTGTCATGAGAAAAATCAGCTACAATGTTTATAAAAAACACTATATGTGCTATAAAATTCAGGTCAGAACAAATTTGCACATTTTTTTATATTTTATTGTCAGGGTCAGCATAAAAATAACTAGAGGTGGTATGTTTATATTTTAGCCTCATATCCATGTCCAGTAAAGTGTTGTTAATTACAAGGTACAAATCTGTTTGAAATCTGTAATAAAGCTAGGCCTAGCTAATAACTCCTTAATTATTAATAAATTGGCAATGTGACATAGACATAGATTTGATGAGATGGCAATATCCCTTGTTATTTACATCATATACTATAATTTATTTGAAAAGTTTACGATTAAATTCGAACTTCATTTCGAATCATTTGGAGTAATTCGATCTGGATTTCTTTGGGTGTATCTTATACTCAATATTTTGTATTCATTCCTATAATCATAAATATATTCTTGGAAATGATAAGGGCGCTAATGGCTGGTTTGTTAGTTGTGTTTTATTTTATATTATTTTAGCTAGAGGTGTGAACTAAAGCATGTGAGGCATGTGGGAGGATGATATATCATTTTATTAACCTCTTAGTAATTAGCTCCTAATTAAGCCCTACAACACATATCTATTACATTTAAAAAGATTTAAAAGATAATTAATTTGAAAAATATCAAAGTCAAAGGTGCGTTATTTGAATTAATTAAGCTGAGAGTTTACATCCACAACTGTGTCTCATATCACTGTTACATTAGAAATGTAGCTTTGTTACTCGAAATTGAATAAGGAATACGGTTACTTTCATGTCATGAAAACCGTGTATAAATCTTGCAAAAAATGGGCTCTTTGCCCCATTTTGTGAAGGGGAAAACAATATTTATGTTACACGGTGATCATGAAAAACAGTTCACGGTTACACACAATTTTTTACACACAATGTTTTAAAAATGTATGATTTAAAACTTATTTATGCTGAATTTATTTCTAAAACATGGTTACTAAGCAGTAACTAACCACTTGTTCGATTTTTGTATTGACTTTAGAAATAATGCTTTGTGAAAATGATATCTGACATAAGTCGACAAAATATGTTTCAATTTCTTTAGATGATATTAGTATATTAGCTTAATTAGAATGAGAATAGTGTTTGTTTTCAAAGTCCTATAGATGATTGAAATATGATCATTTCTAACTGAAGGGCAGCTTCACTCAATGTTTATGACAGAGACCTTTCCTCTGACATTAGAATCTATAATGAAAGGCATAGCTGTTGAATTATCATACTTTTTAAAGTTTTAAATCATTCTATTAAAAAGTTGGAAATTTGATAGTAATTTTCGTGCTTAATAATTCATTTTAATGTCATATATGCATTGATAGAGGAGCGAATCACATTATTTACCCGCAATGTATGACGTTTATACAGATATTATGGCCACAAAATATTTTTTCCCATCATACTTTTAATTAAGTATACTATAGTAAAATTAAATTCATTTTATGAGGTATACAGTTTAAGACCACCTAGTTTTTCTAGCCTGAAGAAAAATAAGCAAATTTATTTTTCAATAGAGTTTATTCAATGTAACAGAACATTAAGATTGGACAGTCTATTATTTAGTTCCAGGTTTGTACCTCTGTTGTATTTGAAACACTTTCAAAGATCATACTATTGAGTCAGTTAACTGTAAATTAGTTTCAGTCTAGTGTTACTGATATATTTATTTGCTTATTTATTTTGGTGTCTAAATGCACTCATTCAAGAAGATATGTTTTCTTTAAATGCCTATTAAACTTACACTATAAAGTCATATTTCAATGTAATTAACCATACCAAATGAAGTCATTCAGTATATCTATGCATTCAATTTCTAATTAACATATAAAGGTTTGTAAAGTAAGTAAAATGTTCGAAATATGTATCATATGTCGACTGAGTGTCTCAGAGGCAAAATTATAACTAAAGAAATATTGCAAAAATGATTTAAGAAGCAGATGTTTCTTTTCTGTTGAAATCCAATGAAGATGAAGATTTTATTTGAGTGCTCATCCTGGCTGACAGAACATGATCTAAGAAAGCGAGCTATATAACAACTTCTAGAGACAGTATATCATCCCTTAGGTACAATAGCCTCATGTCCAGGAGCCACTTTGAAGCTACCCCAAGTACCAATATTTCTATATATTTAATAGCCTAGGTACACCCTTAATATCAATATATGTCCCCCGATCTTATTTATTTTCATTTAGATACAATATAAAAGTGAAGTTCTTTAAACCAAGGTGTGAAATATAGATAAAAAATAGACCATAGGTTCATATTGATGTGCGCGTCTCGAGTGAAGCATCATAAAGGATCTCCTGATTTATTCACTTCCATCTCTGGTCAGTCTATAATTTCCTCATTCGCTTTCATTAATCACATTTTAATATGCTTAATGTCTTAAAAATTAAAGATTTAAAAAGTTCATGAATGGCCAATCTGATAACGCATGATGCTTGCAAAAGAGCTAATTATGCATTAAATATTCATTTAGATACTGTGGTAAATGTAAATGGACTGTGTTGTATCACAGTAATTCCTCACTTTCACAAAAAGTTGGAAACAAGAAATTACAAAATGCCATTTCAATGTTTTATCTCAATATTTTGAATATTCACTTTCAAATCTGAATTCTATTACCCGTTTCATTAATTATTTGTACTTATTATCATGAAAACTTCATTGAAAATCATATTCAAATATCTAAAAAGGTAAAATGTTGCCAAGTTTAATCATACATAAATGTTGGCTTACTAAAAACAACTTGCAAAAGTTGTTGCTGCAAGTAAGGTTTTTAAGAACTTTGAACTATAGCTCAAACTAAAGATAATCATGTTAATGCAAATATACCTTCTTCTGTAATTCCTTTGATATTTTATTTTATTTTAAAAGGAACTTGCATAGGATTTACAATTTCTTTAAAATGATTTGGAGTTTATGCACATACTTCTCCTAAAAACAGAATAATTTATAATTAGTCTTGCATTTCAAAATTCTTTTGAAAAGGCAGGTAAGAGTGGTAGGTATTTATATGTGGTGAACAATTTTGGAGCTTCTTTGACCTACATTTTAAACACCAGAGCATTAACAAACTTCAAAATATGCAATTATCACATAATATTTGAATTCAAAATGGCTGTCATTTTTGTAAAAATGTAATCTTTAATAATTCAAATACTAGTTGATGCATTTAGCTCAATTTTATAAGTTGATGTCTTAGAGGTATAGAATTCTACCCAAAGCTTGATTTTCAAGATGGCTGATGAATTCAAAATGGCAGCCATTTTTCGAAAGAATGTAATATTTTATAACTTGAATATTAGTTGGCAGATTTGGCTAAATTTTACATGCTGATGCCTTAGAGACATAGAATAGACTAGATGCGAGCAGAAATAATCTTGATTTACCTCATTATAAATTATAAATTCAGTCAAAGTGATATCATATTTGAAATCTACTGTACATGTAAAATTACATCAAGAAATGAGGTTTTTAAAGTGTTTATCTGAAAATGTAACTTCTGGTTCGAGGGGATTCCCCATAGACCCTATGTTATAAAATCACAAAAAGTGGAAAATCTTTTCTTGTTTTGGACAGATAATATTTTCTTTTACTGGATATATTTAAATTTGTATAAGTATCAGATACATAAGGGTATATGAAACTGAACCAATGAAACTGATGAATATTCAAGTTTAAGGGAACTTTCTAAATACTTTGCCATGCTATTTTGTCACCTGGTGGTGAAAATGGTAACTACCTACTCGCATCTGGGTGATTCTGCTCAAGAATTGATTTTGAAGATGGCTGATGAATTCAAAATGGCGGCCATTTTTCGTAAGATATTTAATCTTTAAAGATCTAGTTATGAGCATTTCATTTCTCAAATATTCAAATTTCCCGCCATTTTTCAAAAAAAAGTTGAGATTTTTTATTCATTAAATATTTCTTCATACATTTCAAAAAAGATTATCTTTTTAACAAAGATTGAACAAAGGACACACTATTTCAATAATAAAATGCCATATTGAATGGGCCACTTCAATGTTTCAATAGTGATTAGTGATGTCATTATGACTCACTCAGGTGGCAAAAAAATTGAATTTTGTTTTCTATGTCAATTTTTTCTAGATATGCTAAACTTCAATAATAAACCAATGTTGATTGTCTTACCAGGTTAAAAGGAAGAATATATTATGTTTTAGATATCTTTGTACCATCGGTTTCTATGAGAACTAAAATTTTGAAATGCATTTTTCTCTGAACCATAAGTTCATTTTTCGCTTATTTATGAACCGATTTTCTTAATTTTTTCGGCAAAAAACATGCGAGGATGAATGCTATGCATTGATATGAATCGTGGCTTACTAAAAGATACGTGTGACCTCTAAAAGCTAGTTTTAAATAAATTCACGATTTTTTGAACAAAAAGTCGATCAAAAACCACTTTTTGAAATTAAAAAAAAGTTTCACATATCACACTTTGATAACATTGGATAAGACTACAATATAAGCCAAAGTGGTTTAAACTTTATACGGGGACTTTAATAACTTAAAAACCAGTTGATGATGGTCTACGGACCAAGGACCCTGCTCAAGAAGGAATTTTCAAGATGGCGGATGAATTGAAGTGATTTGACATGGTATTGCGAAAACTGAATTGTTTAAAACAATATTCCAATCAAAGAAATGCAGAAAAATACAAAAAGCTCAAAAGGTAATTCAATGGTTATTCAGAGATGATAGAAATGTGCATTGAGACATCCAGAAATCATTTACAAATTTATATTAACTGATTAACAATAGCTCTATTCTACTAAATAATTCAGAATTATTTATCAATGAGTTAGATTGAACAAGGGATGTCTAGATCATGGAGATCACTTCGTTTTATTTTATATTTAGAATGAGATCAACCAATTTAAGATTTAATATACATAGCCATGGAGTGCCAGTCAAAGGTCATTTAAAATATAATTATTTTTTGTAAGTTCCATTAAAGTGGCAACAGAGGACCAAGATAGACTGAAAGAGGGCGTAAAATATTGGAAGCATTCCCAGATTTCTCACAAAAATTGTCCAAGTGGTTCCCACACAATCCTAATATAACAGACTCCCCGACCATTCTGAGCACTTTTCAAGAGATTTGGGGCTATTCTGGGGCAAAGTTGTCAAATGCGTTGAATTTTAAAGATATAGATTTGAAAGATTTAAACCATCTAATCAAATAAGTTAATTATGATTTATAGGGATCCTTGAAAAAATTATATTGAAAAGGGGGACATCCATCTTTTCAAGATTATAAATAAATTCAAAACTCTTGGCAATTTAGGAAAATAGACACTACAATTATAGTTAAAGGCAAAAATATTGTAAAATGTGTTAACGTTATTTAAAAATCTCAATCGTTTGTTGCACCTTTAAGGATGAATGTCTTAGATGATAAACTGAACATGCAATGCAACAAAGCGATGATTAATCTATTTGGTGAAGGCATTTCAAAAACAATCTAAAGCAAAGGATGTTCGAAAAAGCCGTGACACGATACGAGCCAAAAGTATGTCACTTTCTTTTGCATAAATATGTCTCATTCTTACTTCATGTTGGTATAAAGATGTATTTTAAGATTAGGGTGAAAATAATACTCAGGAAACAAAGCATTTGTATCATATTTTACAGTCATTAATTTATTATATACAAGTGAAATATACACGAGTTGACAGTTGTTGTTTTTTGTAATATACACCAGTTTGTTTAGTAGTGACGTGTAGGTGTAAAATAATACACTCTTGCTCGTAATTAAGGAAACCTGAACTAACACTTCAAAGTGTTGCTGACTGACAATTTAATCTTGATTCATATGGCATGGCTTATCTCAAACACCATGAACAGTCTTATTAAAGATCAGTCAAAACTAGTATATAAACTATATACCAAATCGAGTTACTTTGAACCGTGGCTTTCTGTTGAAAGTCCATGTTTGAACTATTGTTTAAGGTAGTTCCGCACATTCACAAAAAATATGAGAAAATGAAAATGAGACAACTGTCACTCAGGCTTTTGATACACGACTGCACTCTTCTGTCTTTGGATATCCTTGTACATAAAAATTTTATTTTGACTAATACTCCTTCATTTATACAATTATTTAGTTGTTCTTTCCCATATCAGCAAATATTCGTTCATAATTTCGACTGTGTCGGGTTAGGGGGAAATGGCGAAGGATGTGGGGTTGCTCCCTGCATGGTTAAAATACGTAGATATGAGTATGAATTTTGATCTGCCCTTATGAAAAAATCTGGAGATTATAATTTGCTGTTGCAGAACGTACCCAAAAGTTTTTTTGCATATTTTAACCGTGCATGGAACATGAACGCATTTTTACTCAAATCCCAAGTTACCCAATTTTACCATAGGCTACGCTCAGGGGTTTTATCAATGAATTTTTAGCCCATTTCTAGTGTGATGGTTGAGGGAGAAAACGTAAAACCGTTTGTAAAATACAATGAGCGGGCTATGTGCAGAGAAACTTTGATGATTAACAACAAGATAATTCAATATATATTCGATATATAGATCACCAAAGTTCCTCTCCAAACAGTCTGATCATAAGACAAGGGCATTGTGGCTAGTCTTCGGGAATAGTGAGATGGGAATAAGGACAGTGCGAATCAACATTAACATGGTTGTCCAAGTTGAATGTTGCTTTTTACACGATAGTCCTCTTCTTCGTGCTCCTCTATGGGAACCGTAGCATGATTATATAGTCCCTGGGCCATGAGATGTAAGGCGAGTCCGTTCCGAAGTCCAGTGTGCTTTTTCTGCTTCGCTCGCTTGTTCTGAAACCAGATTTTAATCTGTGATTCATTCAGTTTTAGTTCATCTGCCAAACAGTGTCTTCTTTGCTCTGTGAGATATCTGTTTTCTTCAAACTCTTTCTTCAAACGGGAAAGCTGCTCATTTGTGAATGCTGTGCGCGGACGTTTCTCATCCTTCAACTTTTCTTTCTTTTTCATCTTTCTTGATCTTGGCCCTGGAAGCACAAATGTTTATCTTTGACACGTTTGAAAACCAAACTCATTCATGTAAGAGACTGAATGTTACATCAGGACCTGCAATTTTGATTTAATTACTTCTAGTAGTTTATGCCAGCTTAATGCTGTTTAATTTTTTGTTTGAATTGTAATGCTTAGTCTAAGATTAACAAACCTAGCTTTTGTATATCTTAATTATCAAACTAGTGATATTAAAAAACATTCATAGGCAAAATCTCTTCCATCGTCAGTTGAAATGTTAATTAAGTTTACTTGTCTTTGAAGATAATATAAAGTGACGTTTAGTGTGCTATGTTTGTTAAAGAAATGTTCAAACATGATTTGTTTGTTGGTTTGTGGGTGAAACCTGTGTTGGTGCATCATATATCATTGCTAGATCTTTATCTATCGTCCTTCAACAACTTACTGTTGCCTCATGACTGTATCAGAACATGAATTTGTTGTTAGTAAAAAACAGAGAACAATACTAGATTTCATACCAGAGATAGCATTGTGACCTACGATAAAAACAACCACCTCGAATGATCATTAGCTGTTATGTAACGTTATATCTCCGATTATGGAACTTTATGATGGACTATTCACATTCTGTTATATTTTTTAGAGATAAAGTTCATTAAGAACTATGTCTGAATTTTACATGATTAAAAAAGGCTTTTGATGCTGATTAAAATAGATCTTGAGTGATATGCTGGTTGCTCGCCTTCTCACTCCTTGCGCCACATCAAAGAGTCCGGGTGTCATATGTTTTATGAATTGTTACATCAACCATCTCAAAGTGAAAAAGTTTTGGTTGAAATTCAGTGGTATAATTGGTTGAACGTTTGAGATTAATTGGTTTACTAATTGACTGTTGATAAGAATCTTTTGAAGACAACTGTTGTTCATAACTCTTACCAGCCAACGATTTTGGTAACACTTCGTGTAATCGGATCCATAGCCCAGTCTGCCCTTCAAAGTGATGTGTTAATATCTGAATTCGCTCTTTTTACACTTCTCTTTATCGCTTTAAATCAAGTTTAATGTCTGATTTTACAAATCTAGTTTGACACCATGGGCCTCTGTAATGACACGAGGAGCTATGAATGCACAATGTATGGCTTTCCTAACAAAAGCTCAGTGAATACAGAGCTTGCAAAGTTTACTTTTAGAAGTACATAAAATATGCGTTTTTCTTCATAAAGCGACACAAAAAGGCACTCCAATGGTTTACCCATTGACTTCAGACACCTGATTTATAAAGAGGCTGTAAACATTTTGTGAGTTGATGGATCTGCTTACGCTGGGGTACCCCTAATGAATGGATCAACAGACTGTAGCTATGTCTTAGAAAGCTCTCGCTTGTTCCCCTCAGCAGGATAGCCCAAACACAGACCCACAGTCCCCAACCTTAACAGAATAGAATTAAGATCACAAAATACAAGATGACGAATTTTTACACGATAACTCATCGTAATCGTGGATCATCACCTGTCACGTGTCATATATCATGTCGTAATATCGGTGTCGTAAGAATTATAATCGGCCATATTATAAATGTCTCTAGTGCCTTACGGGTTGGATTTGTCGGGGTAGGTTTGGGGTCTTGATGGGTGAAATGACTTGGAATAAAGCAGTATAATGGGGCTTACATAGTGGAACCAAATATTGATAAAGCATGAGACACTATACGGTAAAGACTCCCATCCAACAGGAAAGACAACCACACGTCCTATTCTTTAGGTCTCCGATCATTCTGCATAGCAGACAAACAAAGGGCTACAAAGATTCATCTTATTGTATGTCACTGTGCTAAATGTGTAGAGGCAGACTTTATGCTGAAATTTTCGGTACTGCGTCCACAATGCAAAAGTAAATAAAGTTACTTTGTCTCATAATAATATTTCTATCGAAATAGAATGTTTCAATCATGCATGCGGATAAAATTGATAAAACAGTTCTATGGCACATTTGTTCTGTTAGATTAAAATCACTTTGAATGATATATCATTAATTAATTAATACGATTGCGTGTTAGAGTGAAATGAATCTATTATATTTTGATTACTAGATTTAACTTTTTAATTATCAAATATACTTTCATCTCCACTGACCATGACATAAACACGACAATATCAAGCAAATCTAACCGTCACTGAGTTTGCCGATAGATTTACTCCTGTATGGATATTTCCAATAAAAAATAATTTTGAAATATTTTTTAATCACATGTTAATGTATGTTATTATAAATGATACGAAAATCACGGGAATTTGTTTTGTTTTTTATTTGTTTACTATGCTCATCATGTATCTATCTAGTTGAAACGTGATTGACTTGAACGTATAATTTCACTTTGAAGACACCGAAATCCATCTTTGATCCCGCCAGACAAAATATGCAAGGTCCTTAGATTGCTATATTCAATTACATATCATTTTATATGCGATTGAAATTAAAAGTGAACAGTCTTAAATATGACTTTATCGCTCTATTCCATATTTAAACATTTGCGAGCCATAGAGTATATCTAACGGGCCATTGCCCAGTCATTGTTACTCGGTGTAAAATTAAAGCCTCTGAGGGTTATAATTTCATAGGAAAACTTTTGTGAAATCAATTTTGAGACCGTAATGATACATCGGTTGCTCAAAGAGAAACAACCCGGTAATTTAGACCTTGGTAAATGTATATTTTAATTCTTTCATTTGATTGAGTAGAGATTGTACCGTTTGGATGGTTTCTTAAAAGAGACATTTGAAAATATTTACTACATCTTTATACTTGGGTTTATCAAAAGCGATTGACACCAACAGAAATGTCAAAACACACATAAAAGATCATTTTACCACTTTGTATTTTATATTTTTGTATACGGGTTATTTGTATGAATTGAAAGTCATTTGTGACTGTTCACAGTGAAATTAAGCTTTCACACTTGCTGTTTTAGAATATATTTGCGTCTAAAGACATCCCTTTACATCGCCGACAACTTACTAGCTTACATGTGCATTATATTTTTACATGTTATACGTTGTAAAGGCCTCTACGTGTTTTGTTTCCAATTGCATGTTTAGCAAGATTATATTTGAGTTTTGAAAAAATCAGATCTGGACTATTTAATTCATAGAATATTCCGATTTTTAATGTATATAATATTTCTCATAGTTTCATATGTGATAAGTAAGGGGCCTTTAAAGTCCTTCAGTTTTGAAAAAAGGAACCAAAACCAAAACAATAAAAAAATTCATGTTAGGAATAATAGCCATAAAATATCGTTGGGGTAGGAACAGAAATAATTTCATATCGTTGGGGTAGGAACAGAAATAATTTCATATGTACCAAATATCTGTTTTAGTTTACCTGGAGACGTTTTAGCAATAAAACGAAAATTTGTACATCAAAAATCATTTTACTACCAAATATTTGAAAGGAATTAATTGGCTACAGAGAGCTTTTTTATATTAATCCATTCAGATTAAGACGCATTATCTCCGATTGGACAGAGGCCACAAATGGTGGTTCTTCCATATAGATTTTAGTTGTATCTTTAAATCGTCCCACTAAAGTATACTAATCTCTATATAAAGGTTCAGAAACAGCATTAAATAAAGATAAATCATGCTAAAGTCTTCAAGAGATTGGACCCAACATTCCAGTGAAATACCTTTATAATTGAAAGAGGTGGAGACAACATGATTTGGAGATGTCTTATTTCGGATTTTCTAGATACCAAACTAGTATTGGAATAAGCGGATACATGATATAATAAGTGTTTCCAAGAATCTTTATTTTAGTACTATTTGTTCTTTATGTCTAAATTAATTAAAGTTTTCCATTACAAAATTAAAGCAAAGTGTACATGTGAAGTCATTTACCACAGCTCGATGATTCCATCAGAAATGCCCCTATATATACACAATTGGAAATCCAGACACTCGAACAAAAATTCAGATTTTCCAAACTTGTGACATTGTGATATCGATAGCTACTATTTCACAGAGGTTCCTTTCTGTAAGTTTCGCAAAATGAATGTTAAGAATGTTCAAAATGAGCATAATGGAACTGATAATAACAGTCGAGGCTACACAGTATCAATTGTACAATCGGAATGCCTTGCTGGCCACTATATTAATTTAAATGAAAACTATTAAATATCACGCACCTGTAACATCGATTACAGATATTGGAAATAGAGTTAAGTGATATTGCATAAAACTGTTTTTATTTCGTGACAACGTGAATGTTTAATGATAACTGAGTTGTTATTTAAGCTATCATTTTGGCATTATTTATTACAAAATAGGTAACTTTGACAATACAATTGACAGTTATATCTAACTATAAACGTGTCTAGATTTATTGAATGAACATTTTGATATGTTTTGCCTGACGTTTTATTTCCAAATTCATGAAAATATCCCATTACGTCGCATATCTATGGTATTATCATGGGAAAATATAAAACTTTATTAAAGATAAAATATTTTGAATAACATCTTTAAGGCACTGAGTGCATATATTTTCAAATGTTCAAACGAGAGTTGACAAAACCTATCAGAGCTCTGTCTCTAAAATAAGTTTTTAAAAATCGCAACAGGCCTGTGGCAATTCGCACAATACACTAAATTTAATACAAAGCTCATCTCGTGAGCGACATTACATGTGCTAAAAGTAAAAGGAGTGCGTCCATCTCTAATATTTACAGAGAGGAAGGTGTGTTAGTACAAAGTCCACTGATGATGGAAGTTTGGCGTACTTGAGGCTCAGAAAATAGGCACAGAGGCCATCGCGAATACGGTTGGTTCTGTCTCAAAATAACAAATATACAGCATGTCTACGTACCCTTTGCAATCGTTCGACTTCGCTTCTTAAAAGAGAGTTTCATCAGTTTCTAACTAGACTCTGCGCGCAGGGTAATGTCCACGCAGAGTGCTTTGAAGACAAAAGACAAGTTTCGCCTATTAATTCACAATATGTTTTCATAAGATTTAGAAAACTGAAAAAATGATAAAACATTCCAATGATTTGTATGTGACATGCTTAATCTGGTATAACGAGACTTATAAAATCTGTAATTAAGAGATATTTCTCAAGATTTATAAATAAAGACCTTAATTGAAGAAAAAATGATAGGACTCTTAATCTCTGGAGATGTTGCTATGGAAACCAACAAATCTTTCAATAATTTTTATACTAATATAATAATTATAGTGCGAGGTACCCATCAGAGAAAATCACTTCAAAGCCATTTGAAATCTGATTGTTGACGTTTTTATTTGGGAAGACAAAAGTGAGAAGGAATGCGGATTAATTTCTCGCCAATTTAATAGTTATCGTCTGCAAATTAATCATAAGTTTCAGCGTGGAGCATTCTTGGTGCGATATCCCTGCAACTGGATATATGATAGAAATAACCAACCACAGCATTATCCTGTCCAAGTTTTTTCTAACTGGTGCTTTGAAAGTTCCAAGAGAAAAAGAAAAGGAAAAATGTAAACGTGGCTAGCTATAGCATTATTGGATTCAAATTAGAGAAATTTAGATAATGAGAGACTGATAAATCAGAATGCATCGTACCAGTTACACACAGCGTATAAGTTTCGAATTGGTCTTTCATTATATTTCTAGTCACTAAAACAAATCAGATGTTGAAGTTTTGGAGAAATTAACACCCGAATACTTAGTTGATGAAGATACAAATCCTCAAAGTTGCATGATGAAAATATTGACGACAATCATGATGACAACGATCATGTTGACAAAACACGTTTTGACATCGCAAATCTTCATGATGACACTGCAACTTAATTATTTATTATACTACAATGATTCCCCACTCAAATTATGCTGATGTCTACTTGGGATATAAACATATAGATAATTGATTAAGATTATACTTCGAAATCATAATTGCTAAGATTAGTATTATGCTTAATTAAAAGGTCACGTGACACAATGAAATGTTCCAAACGTTGTTATCATTTAGCACCTTTCCGCTGCACAGACATCTAACCATTGTTTTCTCAAAACCATCGTCAAATTAATCGTTACTATTAAATAGATATCATCATTTGTTGATGCAAAAATCGAAATGTTTTCACTTGGTTTAACAGCAATTTTGCTGGTAGTTGTGATAGCTCGTGATAAGCCAATAATTCCCACTATTTCATACTTCAATGGCTGTTAATTTACAACAGATTTTGAAAATCACCCGGAGCTCCAAAGCAATCCTATGATACAACAAGAAAGCACAAAGGGTAACATTTAAAAACACGAGCAATCTGAATACATATGAGACACAACTAGCTAAATGAACGATAAATGATATCCAAAATTGACCAAATTAAATGTTAAAGTTGTAACCAATTCAGTAAAGCTACATGATGGATCTCATGAATCGATTGTATCCCCATATCTCGAACTTTTGAAACGGTACATCGGATATGCCCATTATCGGTATCCATTTCCCAAAGAGGATTATATCTCACCCACTGTATCATTTCAGCAATTATCGTCTGCTCGTTTGAAAAAATGTTGAAAGTTCGTCTGCTTCTATGAAGTTATCAAGAGATATAGTGGAACTGATAAAGTCATAGCAAATTGGCAATGAAGATGACAGCAAAATATCACCAAGAGTTAGTAACTTGCTTCTGTAACCGACTTAAGTTCTATCGATAATTTTAAGAAATGTATTTTAACTTAAAAAATAATTACTATAATTATTTGTTATCCAAGGCAATGTGATACAACAAGTGGAATTTAATTTCAGCTTTCAACGTATTATTTCATATTTCCTGTTCGGTCTAGCACGCAAACCTTTCCATTTAAAACCAATTTAAAAAGATAAATGCTTTTTTGATTTGAATATTTGACGACTTCATATCTATTGTCCAATTGGCCTTTGTTATAAATGAATGAATACAGTTCTAAGTTCACGATTCACTTTGAACTAAACATATAGTCAATTGATTTGGACATGTTAATTACTGATTTTTTATTTTCATTCAGATTTGTAATATGATTATTGCTCTTGACATACAAGTTGTTCCAAAGCACAAATTCAGAACTCAGCACGACCTTTAAATCGAGCAAATACATGTGTCATTCATGAAATCGAGACCATCTAGAATTCCAGATCAACATGTATGGGTTTATAAGCGATGATATGATAATGATAAATTAACCTTTCAGTCAATGCAATTTCAAACAATTAAAAAACAAAACTATTGATATTAGATAATGTTAAAAAGCATGTATCCAGATAATTTCTTATTCAAAAGGTTTCTTTTATACCTTTTTATCCAAATCATTCTTAGAATGAAAATAATAGTTTAATAAATAGTTTTTATTTATCTTAAAGCATTTTAAAAGTAATTTGCAAATGTGGTGGAAACACGTATCTTGATTCAAAGAATGCATTCTGGAGATAAAAATGAACAAAACGAATTCCGATATTTTTTATCAATTTCAATTTTGTTACCTGACGAAGGTCTGTCTGAGTATCGGGTGCAGAAAACCCAGGCTGGCCAAAGGGGATTCACTTTTTCTTCCGGACTCCTTTCCGCCGCGATAGTTGCACCCACCACTGGTCGGGGACTAACGGGTGCCGGTCGAGGTATGCCCATAGGAGGGTAATGTTCATGCTCTCTCTTTATAACTCTTGGACTCTGGAGCTGATGATGCGAATGTTGCATACGCGTGTGATGCAAATTGTGTGGGTATCTGTCTTTTATATTCACCGTTAAAGTCTCACAGGTTTTCTGTCCAAAGTCCGGTTTCAGAATATTGTCAATGAAAAAGTTTGTTATTTTTTGTGGTTGTTGTTGTTGGTTCTCTATGACAGGAGAAATCAACGGCTTTGGTATGTGTTCAAGTTTTACAGTGTTACTACTTGTAACATTGTCTCTGGAATCCTTTGTCATGTCTACACTTGGTGATCTGTCGCTGTTATCATTGTCTTTTGCTGCTGGAGATACCGATGGTGACGTTACATCTAAGCACACATCAATTGGACTTGGTGTTCTATATCCTGATCCACTCTGGTGATGTATTTCTCGTCCGGGTGATGCCATCGGGGAGCTATTTGGAGACTCTTGCTCCATGTCCTGCATGCTTACCAACTGTCTTTTCCGTGTCTTAGCTTCTTGGATAATGTGCAAAATAGTTTTAAAAACCAATTTGTCCCTGATGTAGTTTCTAGAAAATCCTCATACTTATTTTCACAGCAGTAAATTTTACAATCGTCTAAATTGCTTGTTGAAAGCAATTGTTCCTTTAATTTTCAATTGGATTTTCGTCTCGATGTTTTTCATCTAATTGTTCATTTTGCGTCCGTGATGCTAGCGAGGTGTCAATGATGTGTTTATTTCAAGTATCGCCTGTGGGTAGAGACTAGTGAATAGCAGATAATTAGACGGCCAGCGTTAATATCCACTTCTTAGGGGGCGGTAAGGTTAGAAAGAAATGAACATCGCGTGTGCAGGGAACCAATCACGGCGCTCGGATATATCAGAAATGAACAAGCTACGGCTGTGATAGGGCCTGCAGTTGGTTGTCATGGATAATACATTACAATTTCCCAGGTCTTTATTAGCCATGTTACTGATATCTCTCCTACAAAGATTCAATTAAAAATTAGAAACATAATCATTGTTAATCACAAGTATATCACAAAGCGTTTGATCCAAGACTACATATGCTAGTATTTAGTGAAAGATAAAATCGTTATCAACTTTAAAGAAATGTTATCGTTACACAAGGATAAGGTGTTGCCATGGTTATAAAAAGTGGCACAGCTAGAAATTGGAGTCATTATTCAAAGTGATAAAAGAAGCCGTTCTAAGGGCAGCATCAAACGTAACTTGGGACTTGAAACAACATATTGACACCCTCTATGTCTGTCTTAGTAAAATATGTCTACTAACATAAGTCTTTATGTAATCTAAATAAAGACCTTCCCAAGATCTGAAAATACGTCAGTCATACATCATAGGCTAGTAGCTACTGTTACAATCTTTTCCGAAATAAAGCATTTGAAGAGTGGAAGCTTTTAAAATTATCTTTTAAAAACAAATTGTTGGCCCAGGGCGGATCCAGGATTAATATAGAGAATACTGGCCCATACTGTAAAAGGTAGTGTTAAATCATTAGAAGAAATGGCATTTTTGGGCATGCTCACAAAATATTGGCATATTTTCCTGAATTTCTGGTTCAATAATGATATCTAGCTTCTCTTTGTCAAATATTTGACTTCGGAATATTTGACAATTATTTGAGCCATTTGACTGTTTTTTTTCTTTGAGTTCATTCAGCCCCTCACCCGGATCCGCGTATTGGAATCTTTAGGGGTACGGTATGATCATATTTAACATTAAAAGTATGCAAAAATTGTTGGAAAAATACTACTGGTGAAATTGGATATCCCAAGTTTAAAAAATAGAAAAATGCGCATTTGAAGTACTTGACATATTATTCTTTCGCCAATAATACTTGTTGATTTAGAACTTTCCTTTGGGAATCATGTTGGGAGGTACACTCGAAAATTATTTGTAAGATTTTAAAAACACGGTAAAGGTTAATTATCCAACAGCGTTTCCAAATTTTTTTTTAAAGTTTAGAATGTATTGGGCTCAAATCATTCCCAAACTTGCCTTTTTCTAAATTCTTAGATTCTGACCTTATCATGGTACAAATATGAATAAACCTACAAATGAAGGTGGCCCATATGGGACGGATTTTGGACCTGGTTGTGCGTATGACGTCACTATGAAATCATACATGTACATAAATTGAGTTTATTAACCTTTAATTCTGCTTGATAAGCCTTAAACACGATTAGCCATAAAAATAATCATATTCAGATAAAAAGAGCAAGCCATACGCATTCAAGTAAAACACACCATTGCCAGGTTGCAATTTTATTCATTAGAAAATGAATCTGGAAGTTCAAATTCTAAAATTATCAAGGTAGCTATAAAAAGTGCATTTGAATCCTGCAGTGGATCAATCTTCGTTTTGCTTCAAAATTGTACTTCATCTGAAATTTGAACCACTGTCAGTTTTGATCGCACGAGATTTCAATAGGAAATAAAGAGTTTTTTGTTATATGATTAATTAAAGAGCAATCAAAATATACAATTATAATGATCTATAATTGTAATATGATCACCGAATCATACTACTCAGCAATGTGAAAAATTAGATTTTGAACAATAAATTGATCACCGTCGTAACATCGTGCAATCATTAGGGATAGAGCACGTTGGGGAAGTGTGTGGGCCAGTGGGGGTTAATGTCTTGGAATCTACGACTTCAACGTACACCTGCTTTTGGAATAATCGCATATGACCATCTCAATGTGCCAAATCCTTGCATTAGGAGCTATTATCTATATAAATTGTAGGCTTATTTTAAATATCAATTTATTTAATTATAGTTATTCAAGTTCATTTCTAGTCAAACAATATGTTTCTATTACCATTATCATACCCCTGATCATCAAACGAAGCAAAATTATGTATTTCACACAAATGAAATTGATATAAAAGATTTTTCGGATCGATTTAACGATTCTATTTATTTTAATTAATATATTAAAAAGGACGATGACGGCATCAGATAAATTGATAGCGTTGATCCATATCTTTGATGTTCGGGCGATAACGTGATCAAGCCAAAACAGGAAAGTCATAGTTCCCGGTTGTTTTGTCATCAAGACTCATAATGCCATGATATAATTCAAAATATTAGTTAACATAGTTTTTTCCAGGGCTTTTGTCTTTGTTAATTGATATACTTGGGTATATTTCAACATCTGCAGGAACCCAATCCAATCATAATTGTTCCCTCCCAATCCATGATAGTTGATGGTATTGGATTAAATCACATCAAATTAAATTACAATACATTTATTAACATATTCTTGAAAATGATTTTATGGCTAGCTCGGTTAATGGAAAATTGTTGTTTCAGAGTTTTGGCGGGCAATTGGAATTTAATGATTTCGCTTGCTTAATTTTATTCCATGACTGAAATCTGAAGCCAACCCGATATATATTAGTTTTTTTTGCATATTTTTAATTATTTCAAATTAGATACAAATAAGATGAAATACAACCGTCTTTCAAAATCTCAAGAAACATTAAGTAGACAAGACAAGTCACATGTCCTCAGTCTTACCACCTCTGATATCTATTTGCCCTATTTTCAAACTTTTTATGAAAAGGTTTTTTGTGGACGGTGTTCGGCGGTTGATGTTCGGCGTTCGGCGTCTGTATCAAATGACAGGTTGCGGCATTTTGCATGTTATTGCCCTGTTCCAGCATTATATAAAAATAATTTGCAGCCAGCTATCGTTTCTTCAGACAAATATAGATCTACAACTGTGTGAAATTGTTTGGGAATTTAGACGTTTCTGCTGAATACGTTTGTTGCAGTAATTGACTCTTGAAGAAAGTTTATGTTTCTATTTGCAAACAATGTGGCAGTTATGAATAATGGGAACACAACTTTCTGTTCGAGTGATTTGTGAAGGAAACCGAAAATAAGTGGTTAAGAACTAAACGAACAGCGTTCTATATCAGGCTATCCCTTTGTGTGTCATAAGTGTTTTTTGTAGAGCCTCGACTACAATTATCAGCTCTGGTAGGTTACGGTCCCCGCTACTGCTCTTTGGGCGTATTTTACAAGCTTAATGTAATTATTGTTCAATTTACATGTTGTCTCCCCTGAAAAATGATAACTCGAAAATCAGAAAATATAGTTATACTCATTTCAAGAGTTTCATAGTAGCAACGCGGTGTACAGAATCATTTTCTCTTTTTTAGTGAATAAAGTTATAAGTTTCGTAGATCCATAGAAAATATTCCATAGATGTACTTCAAAATGCTGTCAAGCGTTTTTGATGAATTAAGGTTTCCGAAAAGGATGTTCATTGGTTTTATCTTGAAACTTATCTTTTTATGGATGGTTTGATGTATGTATTAGTTATGATGTTGACATACGAAAAACTTCTTAAACCAACACAAACTGCAATTAATCTTCTGTTTTAGCGCGAACAGTCATCAACAACCAAAACTGTGGAACATAAAGTTGCAACTATCGGTAACTCGATCCCAACAGAAGCATCAAAGGCTTTGCTTTAGACAAATTGTAGATCTGTGTTGCAAGAACTTCTGTGAGGTTCATAGTTTTCCTGTATCGCTGACAAAGATCGATGCTTAGTAAGTGTTTGTTTCTGGCTTGAAAGTTAACGCCTCTTGGCAAATTAGGACCGAGTATTTGTGATGGAGTACTTTCGCAATCTGGGGCAGTAATTTGCAGACGCGCGCGTTGTCCGTCAAAATATGGGACAAAATATCGCAGCCGGCCATAATAACTAGCCATGATCTTATTGAAGTGTCTGAAAGCACAGCAAGATATGCCAAAGTGAAAGTAAAGCTAATTTTTGTTTCAATTTGCGCGTTGCTTTCATCTTCATAAACTTCAAAAGATGGTTTTGATATGACTATTCATCACTTTCGTTTAAATTGTAAAAAATGGACATCGCACATCGGTTTCCGTTTTTTATGTGTTCAATGAAAAAAAACAATGTTACGTTGCGTGAAACACCCAGTATTATTAATTATACATCACTTTTTATTAAGAATGAAATAGCTAACGACTGAAAAGTGATGAACGTTTAGAATATGACCACTTCATCTTTCCCGATGCAGGCATCCTCTTCTCACATGTATTCGCAGGAAGCACTTTTGGATCCTCCATTTTATATACGTTACACGCAGTCAATACACTGATGTAATGACTGTATTTGATTATAGACTGATAAAAATGAGTTCTTGTTTTACAAATTGCAATTATGATTTCTACCTCTTCCACACCTCACAACCAAAGCCAGATGGTCACAAACACATTCAAAATTACAATATTAATTAGTAATGATCGTTTACTCTATGTTTTGATTTTATGGGGCCTAAGCGATTCTCCGTGCATAGTAGGACTCAGACGAATGTCGCTTGAGCAGTGGATGGCATTGTAGATCGCGACGGAACCCCGGTGAGGCTCGCTGACTTCACTAGATCGTCCTTACTATGCTCATTCCCTCGTGTCACATAATGAACTTTATAAATTTCCACGGCTGTCAAACTGTAGCCTAGGGTACAGGGGGTGTCATCATATCGCTGTTTTGTTTATTGTTGATTCCAATAGAAAAGGCGTACATTAAATACACCCTGTAATTACCCATTGGAGGACTCGGACAGATAAATGGCGTACGGCGCAAAGTAAAATCTCGGAGACACTTGTATTTTCTGTGAGCGTGAGACAACAGTTTAGGATGGTCTAATTATAGGCCAAAAGCCAGTCCATTCTACAATTATACAGACCACCCCAAATGA